TTTACTTTGCAAGACCAACGTTTTGCTGCAGTCTACGTTTGCGTCGCCGCCAAGAGGCGAAATCAGACAGCGGCAGGCTCCACCACCAGCCAACAGGGAACCATCAAATGGTTATACAGATAAAATAGAGAGAGAGAGAGAGACTAAAGAAGTCAGAACGAAATAAACTAATATTCGAATCGCACGCTGTTTTGTGTCCCATTCCAGGTGGGAGGAGGAGAAGCGCGAAGATGGCGTCAAATGGTCAACGCTGGAGCATAAGGGACCGGTATTTGCACCGCCATACGAGCGTGTGCCTCGCAATGTACGCTTCTTCTATGATGGGCGACCGTTGGATCTGTCCGAGGAGACGGAGGAGGCGGCCACCTTCTATGCAAAGATGTTGAATCATGATTACTGCACCAAGGATATATTCAACAATAACTTCTTCAAGGACTTTCGCAAATCGATGACGTCCAAGGAGAAGGAGATAATCAAAGACTTCCGCAAATGCAATTTCCAAGAGATGCACGAATACTTCCAGGCCGAGTCCGAGAAACGTAAGCAAGCGACCAAGGAGGAGAAGCTGGCCAAGAAGAACGAGAACGAGGCCCTGATCAAGGAGTATGGCTTCTGTATGATCGATGGCCACAAGGAGAAGATCGGTAACTTTCGGCTGGAGCCCCCAGGGCTGTTTCGTGGTCGCGGCGAACATCCAAAGATGGGCATGATCAAGCGTCGCATCGGTGCCTCCGACGTTTCGATCAACTGTGGCAAGGAGTCAAAGGTGCCGCCACCGCCGCATGGCTCGCGATGGAAGGAGGTGCGACACGACAATACCGTCACCTGGCTGGCGTCCTGGATCGAGAATGTCCAGGGACAGGTCAAGTACATTATGCTAAATCCCTCGTCCAAGCTGAAGGGCGAAAAGGATCACATCAAATACGAGACGGCGCGGCGACTGGACAAGTCCATTGATAAGATTCGTGCCACCTACCGCGACGAATGGAAATCGAAGGAGATGCGTGTGCGACAGCGTGCCGTGGCCCTGTACTTCATCGACAAGCTGGCCCTGAGAGCGGGCAACGAGAAGGATGAGGATCAGGCGGACACCGTGGGCTGTTGTTCGTTGCGCGTCGAGCACGTTCAGCTGCACAAGGAGCTGAACGACAAGGAGAATGTGGTCGTGTTCGATTTCCCCGGCAAGGATTCCATACGCTATTACAACGAGGTCGAGGTGGAGAAGCGCGTCTTCAAGAACCTCGAACTCTTCATGGAGCACAAGAAGGAGGGCGACGATCTATTCGATCGCCTCAATACCCAAGTGCTGAACGAGCATCTCAAGGAGCTGATGGACGGTAAGCCAAATGTTTGAAAAAGGGAGAAACCGCCCCCACCTAATCACACTAATCCTCTGCCTCTAATCTCAACACAGGACTCACGGCCAAGGTGTTCCGTACATATAACGCATCGAAAACGCTGCAAAATCAATTGGATTTGCTCACCGATCCGAGTGCGACGGTGCCAGAGAAGTTGCTCACATACAATCGCGCCAATCGTGCCGTTGCCATTCTGTGTAACCATCAGCGCTCCGTGCCGAAGGGCCATCAAAAGTCCATGGAGAATCTGAAGGAGAAAATACGCGCCAAGCGCGATGCCATCGATGACTGCGAGTCCGAATACCATGTAAGTAGTAGACTCCCTCGAACGATTCGTGTTTATATGAGAGTACAACTTAAATCTGTTTTCATGTTGTAAATGTTTTGTTTAGGATTTCAAAAAGGCTGCCAAACGTGGCTCGGTCAAGGAGAAGGTGAATGCCGACAAGAAGGGCAAGCAGCTGGAGCGTCTGAAGGACCAGCTTAAGAAATTGGAACTACAAGAGACTGATAGAGACGAGAATAAGACCATTGCCCTGGGCACATCTAAACTAAATTATCTCGATCCACGCATATCGGTGGCTTGGTAAGTGTTTTCCCCATCTTGCTGTTGCTCCCCCCATCCCCTTTCCCAAAAATTAACTAAAAAACTTTATTTTTCTGGCTGTTTTGGTTCCGTTTCTCTGCAGGTGTAAAAAGAATGGAGTACCGATCGAGAAGATCTTTAACAAAACGCAAAGAACCAAATTTCTGTGGGCCGTGCACATGGCCGATGAGAATTATCGTTTTTAAATATATATACTTTCTCCTCCGAATATTCAAAATGCCCCCACACCACACCACCCCCACACCACACCACCCCCACTCACACAAACACACACACACATATGCATGCACAGTGCAGGATAAGGGTAGACATCCCAGCCAAAAGCATGCCCACCACCACCACCACCAACAACAAAAACAACACCAGGAACACACCCACAAAAGGGGAAGGCGCGGGCACTAAGAACAACCGGGTAGTACGGCTAGTAGCGCACACAGGACACAGCTTTTATGCAAACTGTAATGCATATTAATGGGATTCCTGTCCAGGACTATCTGTATCTCTAAGAATGCCTGCTTCGTGCCTGTTTGCCCCCCACGTTTGTTTATTATAACAAAAAGTGCGCCACTCCGCTGAAGTTTAACTTGCGAATCGTCGTACACTGATTACCCACACACACACACATACACACACGAGTTTACACTTCTCTATACATATTTATAAATGTACTATATGTATGGTATGTGCGTGTGTGGCGTATTCGTGCATAATCATAGACAAAAAACAACATCAAAAACAACTAAATTAAAATGCGAACTTTTTGTGAAAGGAAGACAACAATCGGTTGTCATCTAATGTCGTATGCTGTCTTAAAAAAAAAAAAAACAAGATAAACACCAACCAAGCAAAAGAACATAATTTTTCTAGGTTAAACTTAAAAAAAAAAAGAAACTTTTTTTTTATATAAATATATGATATCTATAAATATTATTTTGAAATAGGTCTTCGGCGTACGCTTGATTAATATATTATTTTAATTTTATCAATATGCATTAAGTATAATCACTTATATGATAAAATTAAATAATTACAAGTTTTTTTATGTTTACCTATAGTTGATTTTTGTTTAGCAAAAGAAATGTCTTTTTTCACTATTAAATATAAACGATTCGATTACGATTCATACGGATTATGTATTAAGTGCAGAGTGAACAGATCGATCGATACAGAGCGAGCGAGAGAGAGAGAGAGAAAGAGCCGTGTAGCCCAAAACATTTTAGCATAGCATAATTTATTCAATTGAAAATTAAACAAAAACTACAACAACAACAAAAAATTCTCGTAAGCAAGAAATCCAAGCAAAAAAGAAAACGTAAAAAAAATAATGATCGGTAATTGATCAATTCAACGGTGTACCGTACCGATCATCGTTGATTGATTCCGATCAAATGCACCGATCATTTTGTACCTTAATCATTTTAGTAAGAAAAGAAACGAAAAGAAACAAAACAAAAAAAAACAGTGTAATAAACGAAAGAACAATTCTTTTGCAAAACAAAACCTTTTCATAATTTAAGTGAGAACCGAAACTGCTTTACATACACACGTACACACATATAGCATACATGTGCACACAAACACAGATAGACAGACAGGTTTCAAAATACTCTTTCTTCTGTTTCGCAATCCAATCCAATCCAAAATCAAGTGCAATTCAATCAGCAATGAAACGATAGAAAAACCACCACTCAAAAACCACGAAAATAAATTTCTTATTTTATACTTTCTAAATTGTTTTTAGCATGTGCAATTAGGCGGAGGAAAATTAACTTAAAATATTAAGTGGGGTAAAGTGTGTTTACAGAAAAGTAAAAGCTAAACTACTTCCAGAGGAAAAGCAATCATGCCAGGAAATCGCTAGCTAATTATTTTGTATTTTATAATTGAGAGAACCAGCCGCTTAGCCTCAGGCATGGCTGTACCTGTACCCTGGCAAGGATAACATACACACACACACACTTTATCTTGCTCTCCTCCCCCCTCCACCAAATCCACCCATCATATGATTTATGATGATGTTTTGTATGTAGTACTGTACTGTATTTAAAATTACTCAAAAAAAAAAACCCAAACAAAACAAACATAAAAAAATGAAATGAAAGCAAAAGTTTCGGCAACTTGGGCTGCTGCTGGAGTTTGGAGTTCGTTCTGCTCCTTTTCAATGATTGTGTGCGAGTCCCGGCCCAAGCCACCCCCAACCCCCCTTAGCATAAATAACTAAAGGATTTATACATAAACCAACTCCCCAGCCCCCCTCACCCAACAAAACACATATGATAATTAGTAATTACACAAAAAACAAAAAAAAAACATTAATAGTTTATATGCGTAAAGTCGTATATAGACAAACAAATACACGTGAGAAACGCTTTCAAAAGGCAAAACAAAGGACCCCCCCCTCCCCCATTTGTCTCGTGTAGTCCCTATCCCAAAATACACACATAAACATGGCATATTACAATATTGATATAAGCAAACAAAAAACAAAACAAAAATGATAACATAGAAGAAAACAAAAGCATAAACAAACCACAAAACTATTTTAAAATAGAAATGCAAACAAAACAATTGAACATAAGTTAATGTAATTGTAATGGAATGATGCAAATATACATACGACAACATATATTTAATTTTAAAACTGAATTCCAATATGATTTATCTACTTTTTGTGTGAAGGGGAGAGGCGGCCGACCAAGGTCAGGGAACACAGTAAGAAAGAGAGGGAGCTACTCTCTCATTGCTCATTGCTGTCCATGAGTTGATTTGACCTACATCTGGTGGTCTATCAAGTTCATGCGCAACACGCAACTAACAGCAAACATCCTTGAAATTTTATTATGTGCCAGATATATACCATACATATACATCAAATAGAAACTTAAGACGTATAGTCCATTCAAGTTTGAATTTGAATTCAAAATTGTACGGACCAACGGTCGACAGATTGATTTTTCTCTGATATCGATAACAGAGTGCAGAGTCGATAGCATGCTGAGTGATCAGCGTTGCCATACATCCCGTTCAAATTTGACTTTTGCGCTAACGAACGCCGTGGAAAAGGCAAAGAACGCGAAAAACTGACGCTCCTCGCGCCAAAGAGAAACCAAACTCCAGTTAAATCGTTCAGCAAGTGCAGTTAACTATAGCTAGAGAAATATGTCGGGTGCTGCGAGTCACACACAATTGATAAAGATGCGTGCCAGCGCCGAGGCTGTGGCGTCTCTGGCCAGCAGCAACAAAGGAGCACAAATGCAACAAGTGGCGTGCAGCAACAACAACAACAACAGCAGGAATCTATCAGCCATTATGGAGCAACTGCAGGTGGACTATGGCAAATACAAATACACGGTCTATCGCTGTGCCAGCAAATTTCTGGCCCTACAAAAGATCTTCCACAGTGAGTAGCACCACACACACACAAACACACACGGAGGATCTTTAATCATTGATCACTCCGCATGGACAGCCGGCAAAATACCATACAAACTAGTGCTGGCCATATTGGAACGCCATGGCATGCCGGCAAGCAGTGGCAGCAATCTCAATCTGATGGTGCCGCCCTTCCAGTTGACCTCGCTGCTGCACGACATCTACTTTGCCTGCGAGAAGCTGGGCCACTTTACCAAGACCAGCAGCTACACGCTGGAGACGGCCACTGCACTGCTGGCGAACTTCTTCTGGAACATCTACGATCCGTGAGTGGTGTCAAGGAGACCAGACCCCCCCTGCCCCATACTTTACTCTCCTCTCGTTTTGCAGGCAGCGACGACATTCGATCTCTCTGCTGGAGATCAGGATTACCTTCCTGCTGCTGTGCAAACTGTACAGCAGCGAGCACTTGGTCGGCGACTTCTTTGGCCTGCTGGTGGAGAGCAGGTCCCAGAGCGTGTCGCGGTTCGCCTTCGAGCAGCTGCTGAACACGCTCAGCAAAATGCTCAGCTATTTGGGGGAGGCCAAGGCCTATGGTGTGCACAATCTGCCACTGATGATGGAGCAGTGCTTTGCCCGTTGTCCGCACAATGCCAGCGGATTGGGGGAGCAGCAGTTCCACGGCCTGTGGACTACCAACACAGACGCGCTTCCTCATCTACGGCAATCTGTTGGCTCTGATCAAGCGTATCGAGGATACCGAGCATTTGATACACAGCAATCCCTGCGCTGGCTGCCGGCTGGAGCACATCATTGGCATTCGTTTCAAGTGCCAGGTGTGCCGCGATTTGTCGCTTTGCTTGCCCTGCTTTGCGGCCGGCTTTGTGGGTGGCCGGCACGAGGCCTCGCATCGCATGTGCGAGGTTTTTGTGGAGGATCAGCCGCCCCAGCGTTGGACTCGCTATTTGGCTCGTCTCTGCGGATGGATTGTCCATCCGCAGAAGACGCAACACGACAGCGCTGAGGAGGAGGAGCGACGCGGCTTCTGCAATGCCCAGGAGAGTGCCAACGGCGGCAGTCTGGGGCAGCCATCCACCGCCCCCGAACTGGCACCCATACCCGCGGAGACGCGTAGTTTTCGCTGCAACTCCACCACAAAGCCACCAATGATGGAGCAGCAGCAACAGGCACAGCCGCAACAGCAACAGCAGCAGGAGCTCTGCTCGCTAACGGGCTTGGCCACAACCGCCAGTCAGGCCTCAAACCGAATGCAATCGATAATCGATCGCCTGCAGCTGCAGAATGCGTAAGGCCTGCCCTTCTGTCCCACTACTGGTATTTGTATAGAGTTCTTTTTTGATTGCAGGAAACTGGAAACACAGCTGCAGATGGTTTCCACAACGTCCAGTGCCCAGATCTCAGAGTTTTTGAGTGCCCATCAGAGTTTTCTGCTGCAGATAATTGAGGATATGCGTCAGCTATCGGTAGGCATTGGCTGCAGTTCTGACATCCCGGCAACCAAATGATTTTTTGTATTACCTTCTCTTGCAGCGGTCCTCCACAACAACATCGCCTTCGGGGCCATCAGCTCCTTTGATCAGCTCCACTTTCCTGAACTCGAGCACACCCCAGCGACAACAGGCGTTCGATATGTATGCGCCCGTGGGTGCCAATCTGACACATTCCAGTGCGTACAGAGGATTCTCTCCATCGGTATATATCCTTCATTAAATGCTTTTCTTTTTCAGTTAATGGCGCCGAGCTGAATCGCAGCTATCTGGAGGCCAACAAATCGGACTATTCTCTGAACGACATTAGTCTGTGGTTCGATCAGCGACGTTCCAGCGTACAGAATGGTGTGGGAGCAGCTGCTCCCCAATCGCTGCCCCTGCCACTGCCCCTTGGCGCTCTGCTCGAACAGCATCCGGTTAATGGGGATGGCAGGGACACAGAGATGGCAAATTTTAAGCTGCTGCTGCACAAGGTCAAGGAGATTGTCGAGGACTCCTATAGCGACAATGCCGAATTGTCGGCGGCCACACAGAATCTGGAGAATGTGCTCGACAGCATCATCAAGACCGAGGAGCATCAGCGGCGCAGCAGCACATAAAATTGTGACTTAAATTCATACGATTTATGGTACATATATACTCGTATATATAGGTATAATTATATGTTTTATATGTTTGTAAGCAAAACGAATCCATCCTGACACGAGATCTAGAGATCTTTATACACTGTAAGGCTCTACACTTCCAATCCAATGCTTTAATACCAGACAAGATCTGACGGATCACACAATACACTCAACATATCCATCCCAGAAAGGTGCAATGTGGCCATTAAACGATCCAAAAAGAGCTTTGTGTGACTCACTGTAAAACTACCGGGAAATGGGGAGTGAAAACAAGAGAAACTCACAGGCACTGGAATGACAGTAGAAAGGTTTCCCTTTCCGTAGAAGTAGCTCTCTCAACTTGCATTAGGACGAACTGCGGAGATATCGATTGAGATATTACCACAAGAAATTGAAATTACTAGAATTAATTCTATGCGGAGAAGCAACAGAATTTGGGATACAAAAACCCAACAAAGTAAAGTCCTTAACTTCATTAAATGCCTAAAAAGGCCAGCACAAAATATGATTATATGGGTCCAAGTGCAACAAGGCCTTGTAATAATAATTATAATTCTAATATATACATAAAAAGTCCCCCCCTCCCCTGACCAACACAAATATTATTCATCCTCTTGCTCTTGAGACTTTATCACAGATGCCAGCACATCGCTGGCCATTTGCAGCTGATGCAGATGCGTTAGTTGCTTCAAGCGATCAGTCTTTTGTTGCTCTCTGCCCTCCTGCGGCTTTAGCAACTGCGACCAGGCCAGCAGCTCCTCGCGCAGACTCGCTTCCAAAGCGCCTGCCACATCGGCGGGTGCCGTATTGTATTCGCTCAACTCCAGAACGGAGAGGTTGCAGTGCAGCTGCAGCAGATCGTGCAATAAACGATGCAGCAGCAAACGGAGACGTGCCTGGGTCTGCGCATAGACATGCCAATGCTGGCCAGGATCATCGCGCAGCAGCAGCACACCACACCATTGCGACAGGGGCTGGCTGTTGTAGAAGATGTGCTGGACGGGATTCAAGGCAGTGTTCGTCGTCGTGGTGGTGGTACAGAAGGCATCAAGCATATCCACATCGGAGCCTGTAACGAAGACGAAGCTTAGAACTATTTATAGACCGATGAGTGGTGTGGCTTACCGCGATCAGAGGAGGCTTGATCTGTGCCCTGCGCCGTGATCAGCTCAAATTGCAGCTTGGAGACGAGTAGCTGCTCGAAACGCGCACAATCCTGGGCCGCCTGACCCTCGATAAACTTCAGACGCAGGGCACAATGTGCCGTCTGGCTCATGATCACGGCCAGAAAGTCCTGATGCAGTGTGGCGGGCGCGAATCGAGGGGCCAGCGCTTCGGTCTGATGCAGCAGTGGCCCCACGTCAATGGTGGCCAAATGCATTTGTCGCATGCTGTTCCCCGAATCCTCTGTACCATTTCTTATCTCATAGATGGCCAGCAGCTGGAGTTTCTCGGCCTGCAGCAGATCCTCGAGCTGCAGACGCACCAGCAGCACAGCCGTGCAGTCCGGCAGCAGTTGGGAGGCCTTGGCCACTGGACGCCAGTTGAGACGACGACTGTGCTGTTCCTGGCACGACCAGAATTGGGCCAGTTCATCGTAGTCCTCGGGCGGCTGGCCGTTTGGCTCCACGGGCAGCTCGTACAGACGATGCTCGTAGCTGAGGCTGCTCCCGCCGTTGTCCAGATGGATCAGCGGGCGTAGGCAGTGGACAATGGACAGCCGATTGTTGCCCGCTATGTTGGCCAGCAGTGTGCCGCAGACCACAAAATCGCCACAGACCCTCGTCCAGACATCGCCAAAGCGCCGCAACAGCTGCTTCTCCTCCAGCAGCAAGGGAACGGTGGCCGGGCGGGCCGAAGGTCTGCAGCTCCAGCGTGCGGGCAAAGTCCAGCTGTGTCTGGGCGCGCTGGCTGCACAGCTCCGCCTGTGCTGTGTGCACCTGCTGGAGCAGTCGCTCGAAATTTTGATTCGGGAAGGTGTCGGCGGCGGCAGTGCTGCTGCGGCTGGAGGACTCCTCTTTGAGTTGAGCAGGCTGAAAATCGGTGCGCTGACGCTTGCCATTGGTGAAGCGCAGCTCCACGTAGGCCTGGTACTTGATGGGACCGTCGACCATCTTGAAATCCGCCACGTGATCGTGCTGGGCCACCAGTTCAAAGTTGGCGCCATGCTCGGGGAGTCGGCGCAGGACCAGCAGCAGCTGCCAGCAGTGTACCAGGATGTAGATCTGCTCCTGCAGCCACACAAACTTGCCAATGCCGATGGGCAGCTCCTCGGCAGACAGCAGCTTGCTGTGGTTCACCGATGGCAGGGATTCTTTGCCATGGCTGGACACGGTCTCGTCCTCGCGCCTGAGAAAGCTGCTCATGGGGCCATCGTAGGCCTGTAGTTTGGCGGCCAACTGTTTCAGCCGACTTTCCTTGAGATCAATGTGATGCAGCAGCTCCTTCTTGCGGAATTCGTAGAACTTGAGGTTGCGGCCAAGCACTAGACTGGACACAGTACGCCCGCGGCCCCGTCCCAGATGCAGATTGGAGCAGAAGGCTATGCTGGAGCGCTGCAATAGCAACTCCGGCACATTCTCCTCTGTAAACGGCAGCATTACACAAACAGTTGGCAATGTTGACAAATTTGAGCGCAAAAAGGAAATCGGAAAACCGCGGCTGGCGCGCAAATAGAGATGTCACAGACACGATTATGGAAACAATCGATACCTAGCTGTGATAGCTTCACAACAATAACTTTATAATTTATATTGCATTTATATGTAGTGACACCACAATCAAATCTAATCCAGTCTAATCAATCTATCAATTATAGGAAAGAGATATATAATACAAGATTGGAACCAACATGGTACGCTTATAAACCAAGACCAACTTGTCAAGGTTGCCTTATCAAATCGTACCTTAATAACTCTTAATAATTATAATGTAATTCATACAGGATTTAGTCATAAAATGCTAAATTTTCTCCATTCCCGAATGGTTAACGATAGTCAGGCGATCGATTATTCAACAAGTTGTGACTATCGGTTCGAACAGATGTTTGCAAGTAAAAGAAAGAAGAAGACGGACCACAAACAAAATTACTTTGCCGCCCGCCAGCCCGTTCCGCCCGCCCAAATATCATAGCATTGATTTGCTCCACTGCTGTTTCTTGAGCCTGGTTCTGGATCTGGTTCTCTTGGCCCGTGGTCCAGCTCAGCTCTGTATCTAGCCAATATCCGACTGCAGCTGCCGTTGCCTCATTAAAGTGCATCACAGTTACACATATATGTATACAAACATCTTTCGTGCTGTGCCCACGTATCAATTGTGTGTTTAATCTCTCTCTCACTATTGAGATTGCAATAAAACTGTTAACCGAATGGGTGTTTGTGAGCTGTGATCAAAACATACCGTTTGTTTTACAACAACTGAAGCGCGACCAGAGGCAGCAGAAGCAGGAGCAGCACATCACACATACACACACCCAAGGGCAGATGTAGGCGCATGCAAGCAGTGCGAGTGCGGGGCGGATTGTGAACGCAAGCGAGATAGAAATAGGCATAATTTATAGCACATATACAGTTAGTAGTGCTAGGAGCGAAAAAGTTGCTGGAATCGATAAGAGCCCAATACATACATATATACACATGTATACCAGAAGGTCTCTCACGCAACCTTAACAATATCCGTAGACCCAAAAAGCAAGAGCTCCACCAACAGTATTACATACCACTGCACGCACCCACACATACTCACACACACACACAAAAACACGCACTGAAGCAACGCGTCCGCCCACAAGTCGCTGGAATCATTGCACCGCCCAGAGCTCCAGCTTCAGTTCCAGTTTCAAGCTCCCCATCCAGCAAACAACAAAAAAATATGGTAAGTGCCTTTTGCCATGGAGTCGCTTTTACCAAATGCGGCAATGGCCACAACAACAACCACCTACACAAGCGCGCACACATCAACAGCCAACACCACTCACAGAACACTCACTATGTATGTACGAGGCGCCCGCTGGCCAAGCTCCCCAGGCAAACTCCAAGTCCCCCAGTCAGTGTCTGTGCGGATTTCGTGGTCATCAGGTTGGCCCGCTCTAATGTGCCACAAAACGAAGTGAATTTAATTAATAATTTGCGCTAATTTATAATCGTCCGATGCAGCGATTTAATCGCCCGACAGCAACAGACAGTCCCCCACCGCAGCCACCACAACCCACAAGCAGGCGTAATCAGCCATTATCAATTGCTGTTTGTAGTGTAGAAATCCCCAGAGCCCAATAAAAAGGTGCGACGGTGTACAGTGAAAGGCCCCTTGAACGGACATGCAGGGTTTCGAGGGGATTAACAAAGTTTACACTATTAAATGAATGCTACAGATTTCAAAGTTTCAGAGTAGAACCCTTTTGCATACAGTAAAATCTGTGTATAAAGTTATCTGGAAAGGAGACTCAGAATATATAAATTTGCGATAACATAAAAATAAATAATATATGAATAAACTGATCGAGAAGAAATAATATGGACCATCATTTTGTTCTGTTTGCACTCAAAATCTCTTGTAAAATGTGTGCTCATTTATAGAAAGAAGGGCGACCCCCTAGAAGTAAATGTCACGTACAAAATTTCGTGTGTATTTTATTTATTTTTTTATAGTCGGGGGAGCTACATACATACACAGTACAACAAAAACATAAACACACATTAACCACAGAAAATTCCAATGCAATCTCTAAATTTATTCGCACAGAGCTCACCGGTCGTAACGAGACGTGGGGCACAGCAGGCAAAAATACAAACACGAGCCATGGCTATGAAGTCGGGTTCGAATTCGAAAACGGCATCGGCATCGGCGGCGGCATCGGCTTCAGCATCATCGTCGGGTGCGATCAAAAGCAGCAGCGTTGGCGGCGAGCTGCCCAAACGGAGCGAAACACTCTTGGAGGCAAAACGTCGCGCTCGGAACATGCTCAAGAACCAAGGCAGCACTCAAGCCATGCAGGAAACGGTGACGGATATATTCCAGACAGTGAGTATTCTCCCGGAATCCTGCCAGTTGAATGCTAGGTAAATTTTTCCCCAATTCAGGCTGTCAAGTCGCTGCCTCTGGTACGTGGCGAAACGGCTATGGTTTACCATCAGTCGATGGAGCAGCATTGCTGCCGCTGGGATCCCAAACACTTGGAGTGTCCGGATCGTTTTAATCGCGTTTTGGATCGGTAAGTTGTCCCGCCCAATAACAACAAAAAAGGAGGCTCCCCCCTATCTTATTTTATTATGCCTCAGCTGCAACGAATTGAAGCTGTTGGATCGCTGCCTGCCAGTGTCCCCCAGGCTGGCCAGCAAACAGGAGATACTACGCCTGCATACGGCTCAGCATTTTGAACTGTTGGAGCAGACGTCCGAAGTGTGCGACGATCAGAGCATGGAGGAGCTAAGCTCTCGTTTCGATTCAATATACATACATCCGGTGAGAAAAATCAATCATGAGGATGGGTTCCATTGTTTCATATTCCATATTTACATAATAATAAATATTTATATATTTAATTATATTTATATGCATAAAGATGAGCTCCAATTGGATTTGATTAGATGATTAGATAGAAATAATTGCATATTCATTAGACTATTCTACTAATGCGGGGCCATACCCCCGTAAACACTTGGAATCAGTGGAAAATTGTCCGGCGAGGCTAGGCACTGTGCACTTTTTGTGGGTGCACGAAATCTTCAAGCTAAAAGCAAACTTCACTGATCATATCGATCAAGGAAATGCCCTGCATAGTTGTATGGGCTCAGCAGACCACAGTGCTGGGCCCTGCATACCTCAGAGAAATTTCTGCAGCAGCTGTCAAAAGTTAGTCAGACACCGTTTCTGAAGCCTTCTTACCATACGATCCTCATGAATATTTATTTTAACTCTAAGTTAAAGATGCTATAAGTTCTGGGAGCAAACCTTCTAGAAATTTACAAACATTTCCACAATATCCCTTAACTAATCTACGCTATACGAGGGGTGCTTGTTATGTTTCTGGCCTCGGTCACTTCTAGTCGTACTAGGACCAAATGTTCAGTTGCATAAAAGAGTTTGAAGTTTTATGAGTTAAACATACATACAACTTTTTCATGTACGACCACGTTTGAAATCGATTAACGATAAATCAAAAATTCATCTTTGGCAAAAATTGAAATTTAGAGATGAAAATGTCTTTGTCATGATTTCCTACCATATTTTAGGTGGATTTTTAAGCAAAGAATGCTTAGATCAGCTTAGTTCAACTTTTATTGATGAAGCACCATGAAGTTGTGTTTTTTATAGTTAGGCCAGAAACTTAAATAGCAGCCAAAAACCGTTGTGCTAGGGGTACTTTGGGAACGCCATCGGGCATTGAAAATCCGTTTTTCCGACTATATAGTATTATGCGGTTAGCTCCCTCTAGTATTTAATATTCAAACGATTATGCATACATATATATTTTATGTGTGCTTCGATCTGTGATAACCTCCCCATAACACACTGTTCTCCTCCGTCCTCTAGTCCACATTTCAGTGCTCATTGCTTGCCAGCGGATCCACCATCGATTTGGTGGATGCCATAATTACGGGCAGGGCGCAGAATGGCATGGCCATCATTCGGCCGCCAGGGCATCATGCCATGAAGGCCGAATTCAATGGCTATTGTTTCTTCAACAATGTGGCTCTGGCCGCCCAGCATGCCCTCGATGTGCACAAACTGGAGCGCATCCTGATCCTTGACTACGATGTCCATCATGGCCAGGGCACACAGCGCTTCTTCTACAACGATCCCAGGTGAGAGAGAGCGACGCAGAGAGAGAGAGAGAGAGAGCGAGTGGAGGATCTTGAATTTAACTTGTTGATTTTTGTAGGGTTCTGTATTTCTCCATACATCGCTTCGAGCATGGTGCCTTCTGGCCACATTTGCAGGAGTCCGACTACCATGCCATAGGCGAGGGCCCTGGCCTCGGCTTTAACTTCAATGTGCCGCTCAATGAAACCCGGATGGGGGACGGCGACTACATGGCCATCTTCCAGCAGCTGCTACTGCCCGTAGCAATGGAGTATCAGCCGGAGCTGATCATCGTCTCGGCCGGCTATGATGCGGCCCTGGGCTGTCCCGAGGGCGAAATGCAGGTGACGCCCGCCTTCTATCCGCATCTGCTCAATCCGTTGCTCCGTCTGGCCGACTCCCGTGTGGCCGTTGTGCTCGAAGGAGGCTACTGCCTGGAATCTCTGGCCGAGGGAGCGGCCCTCACGTTGCGCACCCTGCTGGGGGATCCCTGTCCCGTGCTGATCGAGCCGCTGCTTCCGCCGAAACCATCGCTGATCAAATCAATTCTCAACTGCATCTTTGCTCATCGGCCGTACTGGCGTTGCCTCCAGCTGCAGGGCACCTACGATCCCCCCGAGCTGATGGGCAAGAATGGCAGCCAGGACTTGCATATTGTGGAACGTACATGGGTTGGAGGACCGCCACCCGTTACCGTTTATCCAACGCGGGACACCTCTGTGGAGCACCTCATTCCCGAGCCGATAGTGGCCGATAATACGGCCCGCCTGCGCCGACTGCGGCTGGAGACCATTCTGACGGTGCCTGGCGTGCGTGTGTGCTACGCCTACAATCCCGAGATGATGGAGCATTGCAACCTGGACGACCTGGGCCATCCCGAGCAGCCGAAGCGCATTCAATTTATCCACAAAATGCACGAGGATTATCAGCTGCTGGGCCGCATGAAGCAGCTAGCTGCGCGGGCGGCCACCACCGACGAGATCTGTCTGGCGCACAGTCGCTCCCACGTGAACACAATGCGGCGAGTGCTGGGACGCGACAAAGACGATCTGCAGGCGCAGGCAGCGACCTACAATTCGGTGTACCTGCATCCGGCCACCTTTGGCTGCGCCACCCTGGCCGCTGGATCCGTTCTGCAGGCGGTGGACAGCGTGCTGCGCGGAGAGTCCCGCAGTGCCATCTGCAATGTCCGTCCACCCGGCCATCATGCGGAGCCGGACCAGCCGCACGGTTTTTGCATATTCAACAATGTGGCCATTGCCGCCCAGTACGCCATTCGGGAGTTTGGCCTGAAGCGTGTGCTAATCGTCGACTGGGATGTCCACCACGGCAATGGCACCCAGCACATCTTCGAGTCGAATCCCAAGGTGCTGTACATCAGCGTCCATCGCTACGAGAACGGTACCTTCTTCCCCAAGGGCCCCGACGGTAACTACGATGTGGTGGGCAAGCACACGGGAGCCGGCTTTAATGTCAACATACCGTGGAATAAGGTGAGACTTCTCTTCTCCGAGTCCGACATTCCTGTGCGCTCCTTTGCTCATTCATTTGTTCGTCTTACAGAAGGGAATGGGGGATCTGGAGTACGCCCTGGCCTTCCAGCAGATCGTAATGCCGATTGCATACGAGTTCCAGCCGGAACTGGTGCTCGTGTCGGCGGGCTTCGATGCGGCCATTGGGGATCCTTTAGGCGGCTGCAAAGTTTCCCCCGAGGGCTATGGCCTGTTCACCCACTGGCTGTCTGCTCTGGCCGGAGGACGGCTAATTGTGTGCCTCGAAGGCGGCTACAATGTGAACTCCATTTCGTATGCCATGACCATGTGCACAAAGACGCTGCTGGGGGATCCGGTGCCGACGCCACAGCTGGGTTCGGCTGCCCTGACAAGGCCGCCGACAACGGCCTTCCAGAGCTGTCTGGAGACGCTGCAGTGCTGCGTGGAGGTGCAGCGTCAGTATTGGAAATCGCTAGAGTTTGTTGGCTACCGGCTGCCGCATGGCTATCAGATTGGGGAGAACAACAACGAGGATTTTCTTGCCGCTTCTTTGGTGAAGTTGAATATTTCAAGTGACGATGCCCAGGGTGCGGCGGGCGGCGAACAAGCCGATCCTGGGCAGGAGAGGCCCAGCGACAGCAAGCCCAAAGTAAAGGTAAAGCCGCCCAATCATTCAACGGCCGCGCCAGAGGAGGTACGATGAGATTCGAGCACGTTATGCTGGACGGAGAAAACGAAACACAGAACTAATCTCTGCCATCTTTTCCGTCCAATCTCTTTCTTATTATTCTCTCTCTGTCTCCCTCATTGCCGCGATGCACTCTCTCGCTCGCTTTCTATCTCTCTCTTTCTGCCTAACAATCATTTGCATTCTATTCCAATCTCATAATCCCATGGTGGTGGTCGCGCATGCGCGGGACCAGATGTTTGCCATTCCCCCAAGCAAGACCTGTCCGCACATGCGAATGCTGCGACCGGAGCTGGTGCCGCAATGTAAGCAACAATCAAACAAAATGCCCGCCGTTTCTCCTGCTCCTCCATTCTGTTTCGTTTTTACGCGTATGATTTTGCACCCAGAAAGCACCCAACAAATGCATGAAGAAAGGATTTGTTGGGAGCACACCAATTTAAAAGTACCCATAGAATTATATTTGTGTATGCAATTTATGTGATTGCAAAGGATTCGATCCCATAATATGTATGTATAAATATTCTTAGCTAAAAGCCATGGCGGTTTAGTCTTTAAAGCCACGTCTGTCTGTCCATTCCGTTTCCCGACTAGTTCATAGAGAGTGTAAGAGCTAGAGCAAACAGATTTTCTGTAAAGGCTACTGCGAACTTTTTTTAAATTTTTTCTCGCTTCAATTTTTAAAATACGAGAAAATCGTTCAGTCATTAAGTTATAAATATTGGCGGGAAAAAAAGTTTCCCCATGCCTCTCCTGCCATTTCATACCCTGGATTTGCGTGTTTTTTTGGCTCTATTTTTTTATAGAGAAACATACAATTTATATATGTAAATATATGTATATATTAAAACTGGATTTCTGGATATCTTAGCTTCGAACCAAGTTATATACAAATCGAATTGCAACATGATTTAGCTGACTAGTAAACTTTCCGCAATCTGCTGGCTTTCTGGCCTTTGTCTGGCTCCTCAACGCTTTTAAATGCTGCTACTTATGGTGCATATATATTTTATTCGTTTTAATTGGAGATGTCTTAGGACAAAACAGCTTTGTGTATTTGGCTTTAACCCTTAATATTTTGTGTTGCTTTATCAAATGCTTTTTTTTAGATTTTTAAATATTTATTACTCCCTTGCACTCCCATTAATGCTGATAATTTTTCTAATATTCACAGCAATAAACACGAGGGCACCGTGCGGCGAATGCATCTCTAGGTCGGATAACTGGATGTGTTTGAGCTGCCACTATATTGGTTGTGGGCGCTATGTGGGCCGGCACATGCAGAGGCACTGCGAGGCACTCGAACATACACTGGTAATGCGGTTGCAGGACCATGCCGTGTGGTGCTATGTGTGCGGCATTTATCTCGATAATCCGCGACTCTTCGAATACAAGAATCGGGCACATCAGGACAGATATGGCCGACCGCTGGCCTGGCGCTATCCCTGTGCGAAGCGTGCCGATGGCTGTTATCCGTTAGATCCCGAAACAGATTCGGAGGAGGAGGCCGATCATATTGCCAATGGGAGCTATCTCCAGGAGGCCCAGTGACCCTTGCTGCTGCGCGTCCTGCACGCCCTCACAGATTATATGTGCACGCTGTGCCCACCATTCAGACATATACTCCAGTTCCTGGTCGAGCACATGTGGCCGCTGCTGGAACGCATTTACCTTAAGCTGATACAATTTTTTTTGGGCAATTGAAACAAACACCGCACGCTGTATGTGCTACTCTCTCTCTCTCGTTCCCCTTTGGGTAAAAAATGAGCGCGTATTAAGCGCGTTTGTTGCATAAATTAATTGTTGCATGGGAGCTGGCTGTTTGCGGTTCCCTTAAATGATAAAAAAGAAACCCCCCCTAAAAAAATAGAAATTGTTAATGTTATGAACTAATAATTAAAGTATATTATATATATGTAATAAAGATGTCCAGTGTTAAGCAATTGTAAGCAGTGTTGTCTACGGGTTTCTCCTTTCAGCGAGCAAAGTGTACTTAGCTCGTACTTCCGTAAGAATACCAGACAAAACGAGAGGGAACGTGTGAGTCGCTTCTGCGGACGCGACTCTACTTTTATGCCCATACTCAGTCAGCAGCGCCGGAGGAGGTGGGAGAAGCAACTGAATATTAATTTCTTTATTCTGACTATAAAAATGATCCGATCTGATTCAGATTGTAAATTGTAATTTATATTGATGGTAAATTATAACTAATGAACACAAAATTTAATTTGGAGCTAAGTCAGCCCCGGTAACTGTGTCGGTTTGGGTTTCACCATCGCAATTCTCCTGCTCAGCCTCGGGGATTAAGTCGTTCTCCGGCTCACACGATAGGGGTCCTTCACTAGGTCCGTTACTGGTTCCGCCAGTTTGTAGTTATGGTTTGGTCCGTCAATGATACGTGGGGCTGAACGAGTTGCCACCTTTTCTGTCCCTAGCTTTTTTCCCGAGCGGAGTACCTGGCCCGGGATGAGGGGATCATCGACGCTGTAAGGCTGGCGGCCGTTCTCGTCGCTGAACAAGAGCTCCTCGTCGACTTCATTCAACAGCGGCTGCTCGACCTTCTCGACGCTGCGGCGAAGATCAGTGTATTCGACCTCGCGACTGTCGCGAGGCGGCTACTCGCTTGAAGGGCTGCGTATGGGCAGCTTGGTGACAAGGCGGACCTTGCCATTTGAGTGGGCCAGTAGGCCCATGTCAATGCCCAACGCTATGCCGTAGTTCACAGCGGTCATTGGAGTCTCAAAGGCACGGATGTGCCGCATCACAACATCATCCGTCTGGGCAGTGACCTCAACTTTGTAGCACAAATTAGTGATTCCACCCCACACACTTGGTCCTTAGGTTACTCACTCTGACGTGGATCGCAATTCAATATGGCTATGATGTGCGGCAGCACCGATTCATAAACGTTTGAGTTTGGGGTCTCCATTCTATACTAATAGAAATCAAATAAAACTTTTAGACAAATTTATTAAATTTAAATTTTTGTTCGACGAGTGCGAGTTTTCAGTTTTTAGTTGTTACCTGTTAGATCTCTATCGCAATAATAGATTTTTGTTTATTTCTAAGGACTGTAGCTTGACTTTTGAATACAAGAGGCAACTGGGATCAAATATAATTCTTTAATTTATGTGACTCCCAAGAGGCCTTTGCATTTTTTCCTTTTTTCCCCCGGGAATATGGTCAGTTTACCCTAAAACCTAAAAAAAATATTAAAACGAATTCTTTAAATTTAAAATGTCTAACTCCAACCCTAACCCGCCCGATGCTACCCCGCTCCCATCGCTGCTACTCTATATAGTTGGCTTTTTGCAAAGCCAGCCTCATCATTTTAAGTAAATTAGTGGGGTAGGGAATCGGAAAAAGACTACACCCTCTTCCTACTCGTAGGCGCCTCCATGAAGCAGATTGAAAAGGATGTCTTGAGCAATCAAGAAATATTGCGCCACATTCAATCGTTCGATGACCTCAAGGAAGCCTTGAGATTTGGAATGATTGTGGGCATATCCCTGGATCTCTTCGCGCTGTGTAATGACATTTTGCATATTTCCTGCGAGGGCAGGCCACTTCTGAAGAGGACATATTCGAAGTACCGTGCCCAAGAGCCGCAACTGGTAGGCAGGCAAATCAGGATACAGATCAGACCTGGCAAGTGGAGCATAAGTGGGTCGCTGAAACGTAACGCGTAAAGCCCAAGGCCGATCAGGTGGCGCATTAATTGCCACAGAAGATCTCTCAAAAACTGTGAGAAAGTCAACTGGCTGCTGCCTCCTGCTGGGTCCCCTACCTAATGACTGGCAGCACTGATTGCCTGTGGAAGGACTCGCCGTAGCTGGGGTCCTGGCAGATGGCTGCCCGGCGGAAGTGACCTGCGGCCCCAGGGCATCGAAATGGTGGAGCTTGCAATATTTTTCAGTCTGAAAATGATTGAAAAAGTTACATGACTCCATGAAAAATTAAAGTTAGGTCACAAGCAACTATCGATGGAAATGGGTGAACGTGAACTATTTAACTGGCATAGTGACCCGCACGAAAACTGGATGAGGATATAAAAAAAGTCATAATGGACAATACGGAAATTTTTTATGAATTGGAAAAAGAAATGAGAAGGAACGTAAGAGTCGCTTCTGTGGACGCGACTCTACTTTTATACCCGTACTCAGTCAGTATATAAATTTGTCAGCTTATGATTTATGTAGAATTTTAAAATATTTCACATTTTTTTTTGCTACATCTGTTATCTACAATGTCGATTACACATCTTAAATGTTGATTATACATATACAATGTAGATTCTACATCTTATCCGCTAGAGGGCGCACGCACATTGCACAGGGCAGTGTGTGCAAGCGAGAAAGATAATAAGTAGCGTCAGCATCGCCGGAGGAGGTGGGGGAAGCAACTGAAAATTAATTTCTTTCTTCTGGCTATAATAATGATTCGATCTGATTCAGATTCGGCAATCTGAAAGATATGGTCATTCTCTACGATACTGCGTTTTTAGTTTTATCGTATCTTTAAAATTGTGGCTGGCACAGATTTCCGTCCTTTGACGGAGCGGAGGGGGCGGGCCGAAATTTTGAAATACACAAACAGTGTGATATTACATGAGTCTGGAATAAAAATTTGGTTGCTCTAGCTCTAGGCGCTCATCAAGACGGACAGACAGACAGGCAGACATAGACTCTGCTATTGATGCTGATCAAGAATATATACACTTTATGGGGTCGGAAACGTTTCCTTCTCTGCGTTACACACATCCACTTTTACTACCTTTTTGAGTATGGGTATAATTAGAAGATGATTATGTCTATGCCTATGCCACTTTGTAATTCTCCTGTTAGTTTGGGGCGACAGGATATGGTAGTTTCCCGAGTGGAATCTGTTGGATCGCCGCCTTCTAGAACAGTACTGAACGATGTGTTATTTGATAAGCCACTACTTTTAATTGTCAACAGAGCAAATTAAAACGAAATTAAAACAAAATATTAAACAATATTTCTATCGTGTTTGTTTTTTCACTTTGCGTTTGACGGGGGCGTGGCTGGGCGGCTGCTTGCGTTTGGGTGCACTGTCACGGTCACTGCCGCTGCTGCTTTGATCAGTGTTCTGCTCAGCCTTAGGTTTGGTTCCTTTTTTGGCTTGCTTTGATTTCCTTGCCTTGGGCTGTGGCGTTGCCTCAGTGTCATCGGATGTATTCGCATTGGCATCTTCATCGTCCTCGATGCTCACAAAGCCTTTTGCTTTGCTGGGCTTTTTTGTAACTTTTTTGGGTATTGGCTCCGGGTTGCTGTCGTTGTCGCTATCGCTGTCGGTGAGAGCCTCGCTCTCCCCATCGCTGCTATTTTCGTCAAAGTCAATCTCCGCCTTTTTGGGCTTCTTGGCTGCGTTCTGTGCTTTTTTGGCTGCTTTCTTCGGTGTTGGCGGCGGCGGCGGCTTGGCATCGTCATCAAACTCAATGGTGACAAAACCTTTTGGTACATCGATCTCCGCGGCCGGCTCGACTTCACTTGGCCTCGATGTGGCGACTGGCACTGCAGGGCTCTGTTTTGGACGAGCAGCGCTGCTGTCGATCAGCGAGAGATCGACCAGACCCAGGCTGGTGGGACGGCAGCCAATACTCGTGCTGGCCATGAATGTTAGTTCGCGTTTCTCCAGTTGACAGCGCCACACTTTGATTTCGCCAGCACTGAAGGAAGAATCGTTAGAGCACCGGGAATGAGGCTACTTTCAGTCTACTCACCTGGACACTGAGACCAGTGTGTTGTTCAGACAAGCCACGGCCTTGACACGAGCCGCATGTGCAGGCAGTATCTTTGGCTGTAATGTGGGGAATAGAGACAGAAATTAGATCAATAAAATACAAGCAAAATACTCATTTCAACACTCACCTCAGCCTCTTTATCGTCCGTGAGGGATATCCAAGCGATGCTGCCATTCTCCAGACCCGACAGGCATTCCGTTTCGCCCAGCCATGCCACACATATCGGCCTGGATGGGGTCTTTGCCCGCCTCGCCACATTGGCCGTCTTTATGTCCCAGATCTCGAGCACCTGATGACCAGTCAGTGTGAAGTGTTCGCCATCCGTAGACCAGGAGAGACAGTCGGGTGCCCCACCCAAGGTGGTCTTGCTCTTTAAGTTGGTTCTGTAGACGACGCGGCCTTTGACCAAGTTCCAGGTATTCAGAATGCGATCACCGCCAAGGGAGAGGCACAATTTGCTGCTGGGATGGCAACTAATGTGTGTGATGGGCGTGCCAGCATGCGCCTTCTTCCAGTCCCCAGCAACGGCCCAACTACCTACGCGAGTGGCCTTCAATTGGCCATCGGAGCTGCCCGACAAGAGGTGCGACATGTCCGGGGCGAAGGACAGAGCGTTTATGGTTCCACTGTGCGAGAGCAGGACTTGGGATAGCTTCCGCTGGCGCATGTCGTAGACAAATATGCGATCGTCGCTCCCACCGCTGGCCACCCAAGGGCCCTGCACCGAAATGCATTTGATGGCGCCGGCATGGGACTTGTCTGCAAACGTTTGCTTCAGCAGCACCTTGGTCTCGTCTTTGACCTCCTCCTCCACAATCTGGTAGCCCAGTAGGTACTCCTCGTAGGTGCCCACAATGATCTCAATGTCCGGACACATCTCTTCAGTGGAAACTTCTTTCTGTGGCGGCATTTTAAATTTGTTTATGGACGACACGAATCTTAGCACGTGTGTGCATCGGGGTGGCAACCTTTTGTTGCTTCAATTTCGATAACGATAGCAAGGTCCGATAAGCGCATTATAGTTTATTTATTTTGAAATCCATGCTTAATCGTGTCTTATGCAAGTTTAACTCGCTTAAATTGTTTTAAAGGAATTTAAATTTAGAACTGATGTGGCGTTCGAGCTGCATTCAATACCAGTATGCATATTCCAGTATATTCCAAAACCAGTATTTTGCGGCATATTTAGTCCCTCTGGATTTTTATTTGCTCTGGCCACACTTGTCTATTTCATTTCGTGCCGCCAGCAAAGATTTTTGCAATTTTGTATGGCAAAATGAAGTACACTTTGGAGGGCAGCAATGCTCGCGGTAAGCCATGGCTGTGCCATCACATACTGCTCATACTCAATCCTATTCTTCACAGTTTTGGCCAAAGCTATGCAGTCGCTGTCCAAGATTGGCAAGGAAATGTTCATCGAGATCGAGCAGGACGGTCTACGAATGAGGGCCATAAACGTTACACAGTCGGCTGTGGGCAGCATATTCTTCAAAAGGTCCATGTTCGAGGTGTTCGACATGCCACCAAGCTCGGACTTTTATTGCAAGATATCCATGAAGTGCTGTCTGGCCGTGTTTCGCAATATGAGCGAGGTGAGGCGGATTGTGTGACCCAAAGTTCGCACCGAGACTTTCATTATATCAGAATGCACATTTCAGGTCGAGTACTGCGAGCTGAACCTAATCGACAATGGGAACAATCTCCGGGTGAATCTGCGCTGCAAGCTAGAGACCACCAAAGAGGCCACCATTTCCATAATCGATGATCAGAACATCAACACAAACATCGACACGGACCAGAGACCAAATGTGTAAGTTTGTACCGTCAAGGGAGATTCATTGAAGAGTCAATAATAATGATAGCCCCTTTTAGAATAAAGGGCGACCACAAGCTGTTCATGGACATCTCCAACAATTTCAATACCACGGAAATGGAACTAACCCTGGAGGCCAACACAGACAGCTTGGTGGCCAAGAACTACATCGAAGGCTCTCGGGTGAATGATAAATTTATGCGAACGCAGCTGAAACTGAAGCCCAGCGAATTTGACCAGTATCAGGTGACCAACGAGACGGTCATTACGTTTTGCCTCAAGGAGTTTCGGGCCTTTCTGCTCTTTGCCGAGTGCTTGAATGCCTCGCTGTGGCTGGAGTTTGACGAAGCGGGCAGTCCCTTCATGTTAAAAATCAAGAAACATGGCGAGATAGATTGTCTCCTGATTATGTCCACACTGTCCCCAGACGATGTCAGCTTCTCGGACGATTACCGCCAGCGGGAAATGACCGTTCAAAATGATGATGTGCGAACTGCAGGTTCAAAGCGCAAGAGCAGCACTCCGGGACCAAGTGTGCAGCAAAAGCGACGACAGCACGATAGCCGGGAGGATAGCCCACCGGAAAGCCCGCTTTTTGAGTTTCGAGACTCGGAAGCACCGTCCGTGCAGCAGGCACGTATGCTAGCGGAGGTGGACACTGTTGTTCTGATAGAAGATGAAGCTGAGGAAGAGGCACTGCTGCTGGCAGCAGCCGATGCCGCATTAGAGGCCGTACGGTTGGCTCCTCCGACAACTGTGCCCGAACCACCAGCCGCAGCCGCACCCGCACAGCCGAACAGCACAGAAGTTTGCTTCTTCAATACAGACGATGTGCCAGCCACGCAGTCTCCCGTGCTTCCGGCCGACGATCCTGACGATGATGATGATGAGTGCATACCGCAGTCCCCCGAACGCGTGGCCAAGGTGCGCACCATCTTCTCACGTTGCTTTCAAAGCACATACGTTCCACGCGAGCCCTCGCCCAGCAGTCTGGCCTATGCTCCGAATTCAGATACAGAGTAATTCTCTGTAATTCGATGTTTGTTCATTTATTAATAAAAAGTATTAAGCTAGTAGTTCTCAGGCATTCCTTAAGCCTTCAGCCTCAGGCATCACGACCGCTGAGCCTATTGCAGGGATGTGTGTGTGCGGGTTGGCTGGGACTTGATGAGCATTTGGTCAGTGGTCGGCAGCGTTCTCAGAGCTCTCTAAATGTTGTTTTCAACTGAAATATTGGAAGTTTATTGGACTGGACTCTGAGAGACGAGAAGAGGCTTTGCCGGACGTCAAATGGGTGCCCCTCTGCTCATAAATGTCTTCATCGTCGACATCAGGGTAACCGTTGTATATATATTATATTATTCTGGATATTTTGAAGTCGAAATTGAGTTCAAGGTATACTTACGGTATAAAGGTATAAATCAATATATCTCTTTTCAAAATAAGAGCATGCTACCGCCAAATCGTCCCAACTACCACCGATATCTAGTCAAGCTTAGCTGGTCAAGCTGAAAAAATAGAGAGATAGCCTTATGTCTCTCATGCTATCCCGCTCTACGCAGAAAAGTTAGCCAAGTCTGAAAGAGCTCCGTTCATTTATTCTGAAAACTTTGTTTAATCGTTTAACTCGCTTAAATCGTTATAAGGCTCTTTAAATTTGGCTAGAGCGGGGCTAAGCTATTTTTTTCTCGGTTTCTGAGGTTCCAGTCCCACTCGACAAAACAAATCAAGTGAAATATTTATTTTTCCATATATGTATGTACATTTGAAAATGACCGCCAATCTCATTTTTCAAAATTTGCTCTCAATTCGTGGTGAGTTTTTAAAATTTGCTCTCTTTTCAGTGGTGAAGAGAGCATTTTTGTGGTGACTTTCCCCTCATTTTCGTGGTGTGAGAAACATGTTCTTAACGGGAACGCGAATGGAATGAAGATTCATTGTTGCGTCATTCCATACGCGTTCCCGTATGATACATTTGATTTGTATGGGAAAAATTTCAGCAACATGGGGAAATGAAGTAGCAGCATTGTTGTGCAACTTTGGCACGGAATGAGCAACAATCTGCATACCTTGGGAAAATGGATATTATGGACTTGAGATATTGTTTGTAATTTCAGGCTCCAATTAATGCAGAAACTACTCAGTCTCTGTTTTAAAGATATTAACGACATTTTTTAGCTCACGGGTACCAATAATAGGTATCAGAACCGGGATAAATGTATATATATAAAACAAAACATATGCATTAATAGTTAAAAAACATGTCAATCTAGTATAAAATCATAAATAATGTTTCAATGGAGCTTGGAACAACAAAATTAGCATCAATTAAAAGAAATAAGGTGTACAAAAGTACATACGCATACAAGAAACTTGGTTGACCAGCAACACTGACGTCACATTTAGTCAACATATACGTTTTATGCTTTGGCCGCTTTTGTTTGAACCTTAATATGTAAACAATTTAATGAAAAATAGTTCTGAAAACTATCCAATCCTAAACAAAATTCATTGAGGAATTGGATAAAATTATTTTTTTTAGGGCTGAGAGGGCCATCTATATAGTAATATTATAGGCCGTTTACACTGGGGCTGCGTCATGCTTCTTTGCGTCTTGGCGAGACGCGTTTTTTACTAGGTCTAGGGCCCTAGTGGTGGCAAAAGCTGCGTCAGTGTCTGATTCATGTGCGTCTATTCGGTATATTCGATTGATTTTGCTCATTTTTGGTATTTTCTGCCTATCAGCGCAACTATCACCACTAATAACAACAAAAATTGTAGATCAAAAATCAAATTTTGGCGCTAAAAATGTATGATTGTGTAAAAAGGTGAAAATATACATAAAGTCATTAAATAAAATACTTGAAACTGATTGTATTATTATCATATGAAATTTTTCTGACCCCCTGATGCCATTAAGACACTGCTGGAGACGAACTTCGGTGGTTTTCATAATTTGAAGAAGAACTCCCACAAACTTTACAATGAAATGTCTGAAAATAATATTTAAATATGAGAATCAATTCTTTTTCGTCCATTTTCCTGACGTCTTGCTTAATTCTGTTGATTTTCAAAAATTTGTGTATCTTTCCTTGTCATCAAGCACCCAAATCAAAATTCAAGACGCACATTTGCCAATGTAAACGCCTTTTCTGCTTCATTGCGTCTATGCCGATATCGATAGCAGACGCGCCCAGTGTAAAAGGGCTATTAAACTGAATATCAAAATCGAGAAATATCAACGTTGAATGTTTTGAAAAAACAATCGATACTATCGTGATAGCTCTAATAATTATTAAAAAACCATTGAAACCTTCTAGGAACTTGTCCATTGTAAAAATTAGATGCCACCTGTCGATGATTTGTTTACAAATGTGTCTTCGTATCTTATAGCAGACAATCCAAACATATTAAAAGCGCAACGACTGTAGCTCGATACTATCATGATAGTCTCAAAACCATCGAAAAAATATCGATACTATCGATAGTGCCCTCGATGGTTTGACACCTCTATGCCGGAATTTGCGAGAAAATTCGTCTAAAAATTCAATTAAAACCATAACGCAATTATCAGATTAGTGCTTCAATCGTTTGAGTTTTAACTGAAGGGCTGATAACGGAGGACTGGCGCCGAAAGACGTGGCCTAACACACAGGAAGACGCGCCACAATGTCGAAGAGTTCCGGGTGGGTGTTTTCTTGTTGTATTCGGCTTTTACTTTATTTTTTCTGCAATTCCTTATTGTTTATGAACTGTGGCCAATCTGTGAATAAAACGTTCCTGTCATCTACAAAAACAAAACAGGCGTGACCGGGAGCGAGAACGCGACCGCGACAGAGATCGCGAGCGGGAGCGCGACAGCAAGCATGAAGGCCGCAGTCGGGATAATCATACACATGAGAGCCGTGGAGGTCGGGGGGACTATGAGATGAGCAAATCTCGTAATGGAGGCGGCAACAGTGCCGGCGGCAGTTCGCGCGGCAGCCGCGATGATCGCAAGCGGGGCAAAGAGCAGTCCAACAGGGACAAGGACAATGATCGCGGGCGGCGTGATGACAAGCGCCGGCGGCGATCTTGGTCGAAGGAATATGAAAAGGATAAGTAAGTGGATGATGGCTGAAACTGGTTTGATAAGCTGTGCTTAAACGGTCTTCCACATCTTTACAGGCGCCAGGACAAGGAACGGGACAGAGATCGCGACCGTCAGAGGGAGAGGGAGAAGGATCGGGAGCGCGACAAGGAAAAGGAACGTGATCGAGAGAAGGATCGAGACCGGGAGCGGGACCGCGAACGTCACCGGGATCGTGAGACGGAACGACGACATCCGGTTACTGTTGCCCCCCTAGTCATACGCCTGTCCTCGTCCAGCTCATCCGATGCGGAAGTGGAGGAAATCGACAAGGAGGAGCAGCAGCGCCGCCTGGAGCAGGAGATGATCAAGCGTCGCGAGCGCATCGAGCGTTGGCGGGCGGAACGGAAACGTGAGAACAAGGCGTCCGCACCAGCCGTTGTAAAAACGGCCAAAAAGTGGAGCCTAGAGGACGAGTCCGAGGAGGACGACAGCAATCACGCACCGCCAATGGAGAGTGGCGCCAAGAAAGACGCAGAGGAGCCCGACTCGCCCCCATCCAAGTTTCACAGCATTCGCAAGCGTTTCGACGATGATGTGGTCGAAGCGAAATTCTCGCCCATGAAGCGTCCCACCTTTAGCAAGACCTTTGGTGTGAAGCTTGGCATGGGTCTGTCTCCGAGCCAGTCTTCCAAATCGACAAAAGTCGATAAGAAGGAGATGTCCGGCGGAGAGTCCAAGGCAAAGATCAAGAAAGAGTCGGAGGCAAGCAAACCAATTGAACCCAAAATAGAGCCTGAGGAGAATACGCCTCCACTACCGCCAGTAGAACCACCAGAACTACCAACACCAGCAACAGCAACGGCAACGGCAGTGACAGTGGCAGTGGCGGTGCCAGAGGCAGCAGCAGCAGCAGTCGTCAAGCAGGAACCAGCCGAAGCGAAACAGGAAGAGCCCAAGAAGCAGCCGGAAGAGGAGATTGATCCATTGGATGCCTACATGCAGGAGGTCAACAAGGAGATGCGACGCGTCAATAACTTTGTGGAGCCGCCCAGCCAAACCCAGGGCGTTGTCATACTCACGGGCGTCGCCAAAAAGAAGTCAACGGAGTCGAAAAAGGGCGAACTGATTGAACAGAATATGGACAGCCTGGAGTACTCGAGCGAGGATGAGCTGGAGGACATACGCGACACGGCCGTCAATCTGGCAATGAAGCATCGCAAGGAGCTGGCCAAAATCGATCACTCATCGGTCAGCTATGCCCCATTCCGGAAGAACTTTTACGTGGAGGTGCCCGAGCTGGGGCGCATGACCCCATCGGATGTGGAGAAGTATCGCACCGAGCTGGAGGGTGTTCAAGTGAAAGGCAAAGGCTGTCCCAAGCCCATTAAGGTGAGTCCCGCAACAGCATTTCCCCCTCTATCCATGAACGATCAATCCAATTTATCCGTGTGTGTTTTATCCATAGACATGGGCACAGTGCGGCGTCAGCAAGAAAGAGATGGATGCGCTGCGGAAGCTGGGCTTCGAAAAGCCCACGCCCATCCAGTGCCAGGCCATACCGGCCATCATGTCCGGACGGGATCTGATAGGTATTGCTAAAACTGGCAGTGGCAAAACGTTGGCATTCATTTTACCAATGTTTAGGCATATCCTGGACCAGCCGCATCTTGAAGAGGGCGATGGTGCCATCGCCATCATAATGGCACCGACCCGCGAGCTCTGCATGCAGATCGGCAAGGACATCAGGCGCTTCAGCAAGAGTCTGGGCCTGCGGCCAGTCTGCGTGTACGGCGGCACTGGCATATCCGAACAGATCGCCGAACTGAAGCGTGGCTCTGAGATAATTGTGTGCACACCAGGACGTATGATCGATATGCTGGCCGCAAACTCTGGCCGGGTGACCAATCTGCGTCGCGTCACTTACGTGGTGCTGGACGAGGCCGATCGCATGTTCGACATGGGCTTCGAGCCTCAGGTGATGCGGATCATTGACAATGTGCGCCCAGATCGCCAGACGGTGATGTTCAGTGCCACGTTCCCACGGCAAATGGAGGCCCTGGCGCGTCGCATTCTAAAGAAGCCCATCGAGGTAATTGTTGGCGGGCGATCGGTTGTGTGCAAGGATGTTGAACAGCATGTGGTCATACTCAACGATGAGTCGAAGTTCTTCAAGCTGCTGGAACTGTTGGGCATCTACCAGGAGGCGGGAAGCATCATTGTCTTTGCGGACAAGCAGGAGAATGCCGACATTCTGCTGCGGGATCTCATGAAGGCCTCGTATCCCTGCATGAGTCTCCATGGGGGAATCGATCAGTTTGATCGTGACTCCACCATCATTGACTTTAAGTCGGGCAAGGTGCGTCTCCTGATTGCCACCTCGGTGGCGGCACGCGGCCTCGATGTCAAGGATCTTATCCTGGTGGTCAACTACGATGTGCCCAATCACTACGAGGACTATGTCCACAGGTAACTATTCCGGATCCTCCTATTCCCATCTCTCCTCCCATTCATTATTCAATTCGATTGCAGATGTGGTCGGACTGGTCGTGCGGGTAAAAAGGGTAGTGCCTACACGTTCATCACACCTGAACAGTCGCGCTATGCTGGCGACATTATACGGGCGCTAGATCTATCTGGTGTCCTGGTGCCTGCCGAGCTGCAGACCCTCTGGACAGAATACAAGGCTGCCCAGGAGGCCGAGGGCAAGAAGGTGCACACTGGCGGCGGCTTCAGCGGCAAGGGCTTCAAGTTCGACGAGCAGGAGTTTAATGCGGTCAAGGAGAGCAAGAAGCTGCAAAAGGCCGCCTTGGGTTTGGCCGATTCGGACGACGACGAGGACATCGAGCAGGACATTGACCAGCAGATCGAACAGATCTTTGCCGCCAAGCGCACCGTCAAAGACACTTCGATTACGGCCGCCACTGCAGCTGCTGCTGCGGCTGCTGCTGCCGCCGCTGCTGCCGGTGGCAATGTGGCACTGGCCACGGCGGCAGCCCAAGCGGCAGCAGCGGCTACGGCAGCCAATCTGGCCATGACCTCCGCTTCAGCGCCCACAGCGGCTGGACAACAGGCAACGCCCGGCATTGTTATGAGCTCCGACAAATTGGAATTGGCCAAGCGTCTGGCATCAAAGATCAACAGCAGCAAGAACCTGGACACAAAGGGCAGCCAGGTGTCGTCAGTGGAGCCTATACTGAAGGGTCACCCCGCAGCGGGATCTGTGCTGACGGCCCGAACGGTGGCCGAGCAGATGGCCGCCAAGCTGAACAACAAGCTCAACTATCAGCCGAAGGAGGATGAGGAGGCCATTGGCACACTGATAGCCAATAGCAATTCGTTTACCAAATACGAGGAGGAGCTCGAGATCAATGACTTTCCCCAGCAGGCACGCTGGAAGGTTACCTCAAAGGAGGCTCTCGCCCAAATCTCCGAATACTCGGAGGCGGGCCTAACGGTGCGTGGCACCTATGTGCCCCAGGGCAAGCCACCGCCCGAAGGCGAGCGCAAGCTCTATCTGGCCATCGAGAGTTGCAGCGAGTTGGCCGTCCAGAAGGCCAAGCGCGAGATCACACGCCTCATCAAGGAGGAGCTGCTCAAACTAAGTTCGTCGCATCACGTATTCAACAAGGGACGCTACAAGGTGGTCTAGTCCTATACCCGCATCTATACTATTCGTCTATTCTATGCTAAGTGTAGTGTATTGTTCTCTGGAACTAATTAGCAATCAATATACACACAATTTAATTTTAGTAAAACAAAATAAAAGGCAACGGACCTTAAGAAGACGACCTCCCTTCTACGGGCTGAACATACCACATACCCCAACAGAACCTTTCCAAACGAACGAGCCTAGAAGGGGGTACACAATAGATCGATGTTCCAAGAGGTTGTAGAACATGAACCCGTCAAGTATTATTATTTTAATTTGCGGAAGAGGCGAAGGATATTCAAGTTCAGAATACTGTAGACCCCATAGGTATATGTTCTCCCTGGTGAGAATTATTACGGGTCTCCACTTTCAGCGTCCAGCATGCACGAGACAATATTCAATTGTTGACCGTTTGTTTGCTGGTTCACTGTACTGAGATATAACTTCTCATATAAAGGGAAGATCATTTCTAAAAGAGGATGGATGCATTTTTTGAATGATTTGGAATTAATCATGCACAAACAAAAAGATTTTGCGAAACGTGACCAGCCAACGGGCATGGTGCAATGTGTTGGATTGCAAACAACAGCATAAGCAAACGCGCCTGATCATTCCATGTTGCTCCCCAAGTACCAATAATATTTAAATTGTCACAAATTCGAATTCCATTTGCCCCAAAAGCCAATAACGCCAGACAAGCTAATAGCCGCAAATTTGTGACTCCTTTCACAAAATGAGAATTCTTTTAGGTGGTGGGTTTTTTTTTTCGTAATTTTTGTTGCTTGTCTTGCTGCATTTTTATTTTATTTACTTATATATCTCCCGCCAGCACTCGAGCGCCTCTCAATCAATTGATTTTCTTGCTACAGTATTTTTCTTGTGTCTAGAAACTACTAAAATTAAATTTAAATGTAGTTATGAGCTTGGGGCTTTTCCGTTATCAATGGTATGTATTATAATTTTTTATAATTATTATTATGCGCTTTTTTTTTTGGTTTCTTTGAAAAAAAATTGTAAGATTTCTTTTTGGTTTTTCTTCTTTATGAACTAATTTGTCGGCAAATTTTTGTTTATTTTTTTGTTTCGATACAAAACTATTTTTAAATTTATTTTGTTTTCTTTTGGTTTTTTTTTTTTTGTATGTTCTTCTTGGGGTTTGGTTTACGTTTCTTACTTTAAAATTATTATTGCATTTTTTTGCGCTTTTCATGATTTTGTTTCTTTTTGGTTGTTGTTTTTTTTATATGGGTTTTCTTTATTCCGTTTATGGTCTACACATTCAAAATCATTCACACGCGTCCTATATATATATATATATGTATATATATATGTAGGTATATATATTATCATCATTGTTTTTTATCGCCTCTTTTTATATGTACAATTCTATGTTAAAACTATGAAGTGTGCTAAATTATAAAAAAAAAAACAACAAAAAAATTCTGTGTATAGTATATAATTTTGTCTTTAAAATTTTTTATATATATACTATATATTTATACGTAATTTTATAGTTTTAGTAGAGTGATTTATTTATTTAATTCTTGGTTTCCGTCGTCCCGCTCTTGATCCTCGTTTAGTTTTTTTTATTTTTAGTTTAGTTTGGCAACATTTTAAATTCGTTGCAATATCTCCAGTTGCTGCTAACATTTCATTTCAATATTTTATATATTTTGTTTGTGTGGTGTAGGGGGTCTCTTCTTTCTTTCCTCCTGGCATTAGTTTACTTATAAATAGACAAATAAAAAAAAAAATTGAATTATGTTTCCTTTTTTTTTTTTGGTTTGTTTGTTGGTTTGCTGTTCTCCTGGGTTAATCGTTAGCCCCTGCGCTTAGTGTGTGTGTGTGTGGAGGAAACGACGAAACAAAACACGCACTGAAGGAAGCATCTTAAAGGCTGCTCTATAGAGAGAGGGGGGTGGGACAGGGGGAGTTCTTAGTGCCTTAAAGATCTGGGGTTATTGGGATGGGTTACTACTGTAAGCTAGCATGCTTTTTGGATCTGTTTGCGTTGTCGGTTATATTGCTGCTGCTGCGGTATTTACAATCGAATCAAAGTTCTCTATTTACTTAGGTATATAATCGTAGTATATATACAGTGGCTAATGCATATATATGTATATATATATATCTCTGGTTGGGGGATGGGGGAATGCGTCGTGTATGTTTTGTGTTCTTGTAGTTTTTCTTGTAGTTGCTGCTCCTAATGTTGCTGCTGCTGTTGCTGTTGCCGCGTCTCCAGTTCATCCATATCTTCCTTTCTGCTTTCTCCCTTAGATCTATAAGCTTAGAGTCTTATTATCGGATCACTTGAAGCAATTTCTTGGCATATCTTCTTCTTCTTTTGTTCTTTGGTCTTTCGTCTGTCTGTGTGCGTGTGTGCCTGTGCGTGTCTCATGGTGGTTGGGCAGTAGCAGAGACACAGGGTTGAGGAGGGGTTCAATTGATTTATCATCTCAATTTCATCTTCCTTTGTTTTTTTTATTCACTTTTGTGTTTGTTCTGTAAAATAAATACCAAATTGGAGAAGAAAAAAAAACGATTCCATCGATTAGTTCTACTTATTTTTCAATCAAATACTTGTTAGCAAAATACAGTTCTAATCCACATCTCATATCTAAATATTCACGTATCATATATTCTTTACAGCATTTTATGTTGCTAAATATAATAACCTGTTCACAAATATTATCAATAAAATTTTAAAAAACCCATTAAAATGTTATTGGTGAATGTTTTGTGGCTGTTTTAGTACCCAATGGACACGTTGACATAATATAGTTAATCCATGAAGATGCCATTTTAATAATTATGAGGTATTTTGGACCAAGCATGGTAGTCTTGCGTAATATCAGAATTTTCATTTCGTTTGGAAGGTAAGTAATTAACTCTGGAAAACATATGTATACATTTTCAATGAAGTTTTTATTACGAAAACTGGTAAAGATATTTCAATGCTAAAGGGGAAGTGATGAACAATTTCCAAATGATTGTTTATACATTGCAATTATATTTTGTAAGACTTTTTTGGAGCGTAATTTTGCTTGAAAATTATACACAACATCAGTAGGAACGCTTGGTGTCGCGGCATACGGGTCGCGACTTAATAATACCCAGTACCAATTTCCTTTCCACTAATGTATAGTGTGTATTTCAATGAAAGAAGTGAAATAAATCAGTGCACTCTTTGAGTACCGGGCATAGCAACTTGGGTATATCTATTTAAATATCTAAATGCTAAGATCGAGCGAGACTTAACTGATCTGCAAATAAAATGTGTGTGTCTAGTATAGCGTTGGATACACGTGGGCAGGTCTTACCTTTTTACTCTTATACAATTTTAATAAATTATTGCATTTGATATGTTGGTCCATTGTTTCATTATTCGTTCCTAAAAAAATTCTTGTATATCTTGGTTTTTTTTTCTCTTTTGTGTTTGCTTTTCTTTCTTTCTTTCATTCTTTTGTTTTTTTTTTTGTTTTTTAATATTTGCAATTTGTTTGTTATTAATTTTTATTGGGGATGGGGATTGGGATTGGGAGTGGGTGGGCGAGGGCGTGGGGTATTCGCTCAAGGATTGTGAAAGGTGGGTATGGTGGTTTAGGGGGAAGATTGGATAAATGTTGATAGTTGTGTTTGCTGCTATTTATAAGTATTAGTTTTTGCTGTTGCTGCTGCTGTTGCTTTGGTTGTTGTTGTTGCTGTAGTTGTTTGATTAATGAGAAGAGTGAAGAATTGAAGAAAGAATCGTTTGCTGCTGCTGCGGCTGCTGATCATCATCATCATTCCATCTCGTTCATCATCATCATCATCTCAACATCATCATCATCATCATCATCATTATTATTATGGTTACCGCTTCAAACCCATCATCACATCACATCGTATCGGATCCTTTTTGGAAATCTATATCTGATGAATCCCCTAAAGATAATAGTCGCCCGTCATGGACAGTGACGTTGCTGTTGCCGCTGCCGCTGCTGCTGCTGATGATGATGATGGTGTTGTTGCCGCTGCTGCTGCTGCTGTTGCCGCTGCTGCCGCCGCCGCTGCTGCCGCCGTGTTAACCGCCGCCGCTGCCGTCATAAACGACTATCAGTATCCGAATCCCGCCGAACCGTGGCCAGTCATTGATGGTGTTACACTACTAACTATACCTAATTGTGTGGCTGTATTATTTGATTGTCAGTGTTGTTGAGCGGCAAATTTCATACGTTTTTGTTTTTGGCGTTGATTGCAGAACCAGACACGCACCACGTTTTTCTTCAAGTCCAGCTTTTCTGCGATGGCCGCGATTTTCTCACCGGATGGCCTCGGCTGGACGGCAAAGTAGGCTTCCAGGGAACGCTTTTCAGGTGCCGCAATGGAAGTCCTTTTTCTTGAAAAAAGACTCGATATAGATTACTTTAGAAATGGGGCCCTAGAGTGGGTACGGTCTATGGTGTGGGAGGATGCAATGCGTTTAATTTTTTGTTTGTTAATTGGGTCGTTGTGTCGTGTCTGGGCTATCGGTTGTCGATAATCGCCGATAATCGCCGATAATTATAATCAGCTATCAGTTATCGGGAATATTGTTAATGTTCAAACGATTATCGACAATTTACGACAATTTGTGTGCAATTTGTTCGTTCGATAGGTTGTCGGTAATCGCCTGTAATTGCCCATCGTTTTTTTTTGTTTTTTCGATTATTGGGTTGATCGCTCATCGCTTTCATCGATTATCGACCATCGGCTAACTTCTACTCGGAATCAGTCTCATCTCCTGGTTCTGTGTCTGTGGGCCAATTACTTCGAGCTTTGACGGGGATTGTGGTGGTTTATTGGGGAGTGGCAGGATCAGGGGTTGGTGGGTGTGGGGGGTGTGGGATTGGCTCTGTCAGCGGGAGTCGGGCGTTACCGTGATAATTAAAACACTTTCTACCTTTTCTTTTCGCCCGCCGGCAGCACACTGGGCGCATCCGGATCACGTCGCTTGTTTTTCGCCTGCGCCTCGGCCTCCTCCAGCCACGCCTGCAGTATGGGCTTGAGGGCGATCATGTTGTTGTGCGACAGCGTCAAGCTCTCGAACCGACAGATTGTGCTTTGCGACAGCGCACCGACGCCAGGTAACTTGAGATTGGCCAGGGCCTTGCCCACATCGGCTTGCGTGACACCTGGCAAACGGAAACGGAAGCGGGATTTGAAATCAGTTAGAGAATGGCTTAAGAGGTTAGGAGGTTAAGGGGCAATGGGGCTATGGGGCATACCTAGCTTAATGCGCCGCTGCTTAAAGCGCTCCGCAAACGCCTCCAGCTCTCGGGGATCGGTGTCGGTGTCGGGATGCAGGCCAGCGGCAGCCACCGCCGCCGTTATAACAGGATGATGTACCGCTGAGTGTCCATGGTGTCCTGTTTAAACAGTTGGATGGATATAAGAAACGTAAATATAAGATCTAAGTATGAGTAGGGATTGACTTACCCCCCGTGTGGCCACTTAACGTGCCCGGATGGTGGTGGCTCATCATGTGATTCATACTGTGATAGGAACCGTGCAGGTGCTGGTGTGTGGGCGTTAATGGTGACTCCGATATGGGCGCTAATGTTGTCATTTGGCCCGTCGGATCCAGCATATCCAGTTGATCCATTGAATGGTGCATCTGTTGCAAAGAGCAAAACGAATTCTTAATGAAAAATTGACAGGAAGAAATCGAAACATACGGAATTATAAGAAATATGTTTACACAATAAATGCAATTTAATTGTTTCTATAATTATCATCTATTTATATTGAAATATACTTAAGTTCAGTACTTATATGTATGTAAAAGGAGAAAAGTGGGCCCTAAAAATGTATAGAATAGTATTTATATTTGTGGAACTCTCATATTTGTAGAGAGCGAACATTGACTGTAAATCCTCGTCAAGCTGTTAATAATTGAACAATAATCCCAAAATAAATGTAATATTCAAAATTAAAATCCCATCAAACAGAGCAAAGCAATCAATCGATTCATCTAGAATTTGTATCATCATTATTATTATCATTATTATTATCATTATTATTATCATTATTATCATAGCAGAGATCTGCCCTTGTCCTTCATCAAACTCGCTTAAGCAGATAATTTGTAAACTTTTCCATTCTGATGGGGATAAGGCATGTATTTAAAGTTGTTGCTAATTAAAGTCCTCTATGCCCCAAGTCGCCCAATTTCAGCCCACCTTCCCCCCACCTGTGTCTTGCGATGGAGGCAACCCTTTAGCAGCCAGGACTCGGGCCTGCACTTGTCAAGCCGAAGGCCTGGGACGGGGGTGTGTGTGTGTTTCGAGCTTTAATTGAACGGGAAATCAGGCCCATTCTTCTCATTCCCATTCCTCCTCAAACCCTAACCTAAAGTGGGAATGAAACGGAATGAAACGAACGGGAACGAAACGGATACGCTCTGGGGCTCACAACTCTTTTGTCTAGGCATCAAATATTTATAGAATTGTTCAATTATTAATGCAAATATGAATAGCAACTAAAAAGCTGGAGCACACGACTGTGTATCTCCCCCCGCCACCCAGCCTACCCGAAAAACCCCATTCTGTGTCTTCCCTTAGCGTTCTGCATGTAGTGTCCCTCCTCTCTCTCACTCCATCTCTCTCTCTCGCTTTCTCACTATATCTGTCTATGCCTTGATGCCTTGCTCTGTCTCTTTCTTTGTGTAGTTTCGCTCCTTGTTGCTCCTACGATTGTGTTGCTTTGTTAAGCATTTAAACTGATTACAGCTGAAAAGTATGCTACAACAAAACGACAAATAGCCCCTCAGTCCATGTCTGGTCGGTCAGTCCACCCACCTCCACACCCACACCCACTCCCACTCCCACTCCCAATCGCTATCCCACTCTTCCAGTTTCAGTTCCAGTTACAGGCAGTGCTGCCCATTTTCATTTGAATGGGTTTGCCGTTGCCAGAGGGAGCCAGAGCTAGGGAGCCACTGCAGTGGCAGTGGCAGTGGCAAGGGAAGGAAGGGGGTCACTCATATTTATTTATCTTTTTGTGAATGTGGCGCAATCGGGCGGGTAAAACTAGAGCTGCTTCCTCCCCACTCTGCTCTGGCTGCTCTCCTTTTGCTATGTACAACAAAACATACCACGCCCCCGCTTAGAAAATGCTGCATGACTAGGACAAGGGGCGAGGCACCAGGGAGCAGGGACCTGGACCAGGAACCTGGACCATGGGCATGGGCATGGCATGGAAACGGACACGGCTGGACGCTGTCGCTGTGCCAATTATGTAAAACTCTAAAATGATAAGCAGTCATCCGTGAAGGTGTGGGTGCGAAGTGTGGGCTTCCCAGTGGGGTGGGTGCGGGTCTGAAGTGGGAGTGGGAGTGGCAGCTTAGGCCTATGCAGAACAATGAGATATATGTACATATAGCCCCCACCATGCCATATGAATATATATATGCATGTATGGGGTGTGTGTGTGTGTATATCTCCAATGTATATGGAAAAACTATGTAGATGCTGTGCCCTCCCCCTGTGGCACGACGCTCGGGTTCCGACGCTGTGCCGGGCCGCTGTGGGATGTAGCAAACACAATGGCAAACTCTTCAATTATAAACCAATCCCAAAATTAGTCTGACGGTTATTGGTTTGCACCCTTGGCGCTTTCTCGCTCGCTCTCCTATCTGCCTCTCACTTGCTCTGGCTCGGGCTCGGGCTCTGCCTGCTGTTCCTGTCTCTGTCGTCGACGCAGTGAATGCTCAACCACCCTGCGCAGGAGACAGAGAGACAAAGAAACCGAGTCAGAGCAACAGAGAGAGGCAGAGGGAGAGCGAGAGTGAGAGTGAGAGAGAGAGGCAGTGACAGAGAGGGAAAGAGAGGACATTTTGGCAGTAGTGGAGACTTTGGCCATGGACCCGGAATCCGGAAGCCGGGAGCCAGGACCCACGACCCGGCATCAGCATCGGTACAACAGTACAACGGCAACGGGATATGTGCTGCATTGTGGTTGGCTGAGGCTTATGCAAAATTCATTTGGGCAGGGCCCCCCATCGATGTTGATGTCGATGCCAGCGTCAGCGTCAGCATCAGCATCGAAGGCTGCTGCTTGCCACCGCTCACCAACACCCCTCAGGTCTTCCCCTGGACTAAATCCAGTGGCAAAGGCAGTGGCAGTGCCAGGAGCAAGGACTAGGACTAGGACTAACGCTGGCCATTTCATTAGGCGCATAATTTGCACAATAATTAATCAAATTATTTAATGGCCACAGGGCACTAATCGGTGCAGAAAAATAAACCATGATGGATCTTGGTTTCTTAAAGCTTGTGGCATGACCACAAAACTGAGAGCTAGATGGCGCCGCATGCCACAAAGAAACAACAGATATGAAATGTCTCCTCGCTCTCTTAAAAATGTCAGAGCGAGACGGCAGACGGCCCCCCAAAAATGGTGTATCGTGCAAGTGTATGTATATGTATGTACATATATATAGATGTGAGTGAGTGAGTGAGTGAGTAAGTGGGTGTGGCATGCCATTTATATTGTGCCACCGCCTTCTCCATTGTCCTATGCTCTCTGCTTGCTCCCCTCCAGGCAATAAGACAAATCAAATGCAACAATGTAACAAAGACTAAAAAGAGAATTAAGAAAAGAAAAACAAAAACATAAAGCAAATAAAATTAGCCATAAAAGAAGGAGAATAGAAATGAAACAATTGCATTGCCAAATTTCGTCTGCATTGATTTTCCTTCACTCACAGACACACAGCAACACAAGTGTAGCTGCGCTGCAGTGACTCGTTCATGTGTGAGTGTGTGTGTGTTTGTGTGTAAAGACGCCATTTTATGTGTGAAATACCCTATGTTCTCCAGGTATGTTCGAAGTTTAGCTGCAAACCAGAAGGACTCTTTGGGCTCTTTTGGGCGATCAAAGATTATTTTCTATCGAATAGTAATCCCATTTGAATGAAGAAATAAAGCCTATACCCTACATACTATTTTGAAAGCCAAACCTTGAGTGGGAGGGCATTAATTTGGGCCGCTGTTATTTGATAGGCACTCCCAAACAGATAAGATTTCATTCACAAATAAAGATGACTTCCATCTGACACTTGGCAGTGCATTCACAGTGCGCTGTTTCCACTGGTCGTCTGCTTCAATGAAGAAATTGTTGCTGGGTATTTTCTTGGCGGAATTTCCCCCTTGCTCTCCCGACTTGTGCTCTCGCTTGTGCTTTATAATTTATTAACAAATCTGCGAACATCATTTATTTATTTGCCAGTTTGTGGATAAACATGTGACTATGTCTTGCTGTGTCTTGTCTCCCCATCCTTCGGTTCACTTTTCTTGCTGCCTTTTCTTCGTTTCTTTCGCTTCTTTCCGGCTTCCGGTGGGTCTCTCTGATTGTTTACGCGCAAATGACCTCATTATATATATAATGTAATTTGTTGTTGTCACTAGATTTTTTGTTTCCCTTTTTTTCTTTCACTTTTTCCCGTTTTCTTCCATCTCCTGCTTTGGGTTTTTCGTGTTGTTTTTGGCATATTTTGACATAATAAAGCGTTTTTGGCGCAATTTGTTGTTGCCTCTTTCGCCCGTTTTGCATTTGTTTTTGTTGTCTGTCTGTCTGTCTGTCTGTCTGTTTGCCATCTCCTTCTGCCTCTCTCTCTCTCAGTGTTAGTGTTTGGGTGTGCTTTGTTATTGTTCATTAATTTTTAAGCATGGTTAATATATTATGGCGCTGACTTTTGTCACCAAAACACACCAACCGATCGACCTGGAGCCCGACCCCTACTCCTGCTTTCTCAGCATACTTTCCCGCTGTCTCAGGACTTTTGCATCTTTTCGATGACTTAACCCACCTGTGGGGGGGGGGGGGGGGGGGGGGGGGGGTCATGGCTTGGCAAAGTAAGAAGATTATCTCTGGGACTAGCAAGTAGAGGGTTAACTTTTAACTTTTACAATTTAGAATATATAGCAAGGATAAGATTTTCATAAAATTATGGCTTTTATTTGGGGAATCGACAGAATAAAACTGACAACACCAAATATTGAAGGCAAAATGATGTTTTACTTTGTATATTCACATTTGTATATTCACAGAAAGCACACAGAAATAGGAATTTCTTTTCAATTGTTGAAATGCAAACAATGGAACAAAGTTTTAATCATTCCTTTTTTTCGTTCTAGAGACACAGCAAGTGATTTTCTTATATTAATATATAATAAATATTATATAATAATTATATAAATATTTATTAGAATAAAATAAATTGCTTTTGTTTCCTTCAACAAAATATGAATATTATTTATTTTAATTAACATTGACAAACTGGTTTATACTTTGGAATTTGGAACATCGCGTGTGTGCTGTCCTGTGCTGTCCTGTGCTGCGGTGGTATTGTGGGGGTATAAGGTGTGGGCGGGGGCGGTGGTCCTGGCTGTGCAGCGCCCAGCTCGCCTACTTCTTGCGCTTCTCGGCAGGCTTCAGGATCTGGAACGAACACATAAGCGTGTCATCGACGGACATCATGGCGCCAGCATTGTCGAATTCGCCGCAGTAGTTGGGCGCCGAGAAGAGGGTGACCAGCTGGCGTTTGGCAAAGAACTCGTACCCATCCTCGACCACCTGGTGGGCACGGCAGACGAGATCAAGATCGTGCTTTTGCAGAAATTTGCCAACAACCTCCGCGCCAAAGGTGAAGCTCACACCGCGATCGTTCTCGCCCCAGCCGACGGTGTCCTTGTCGGGATCGGACCACAGCAGGTCACAGAGCAGGCCCTGGTCGGGCACATCGGTGGGCCGTGCGATGCGGCGGATCTGCTCCATGGCGGTGAGATCCGGACTGAGACCGCCGTGGCAGCAGAAGATCTTCTCGTCAACAATGGCCACCACTGGCAGGCAGTTGAAGCAGTCGGTGAAGGTCTTCCACAGCTTGATGGTGTAGCGGCGCTTGCACTCGTCGTAGAAGCCGTAGATGCGGTTGATGCTGGCGCACTCGTGGTTGCCGCGCAGCAGAAAGAAATTCTCCGAGTACTTGATTTTGTAGGCCAACAGCAGGCAAATGGTCTCCAGCGACTGCTTGCCCCGGTCGACGTAGTCGCCCAAGAACAGGTAATTGGACTCGGGCGGATAGCCGCCGTACTCGAACAGCCGCAGCAGGTCATAGTATTGACCGTGTATGTCGCCGCAGATCTTCAGCGGTGCCTCCAGCTCCAGGAGTATGGGCTGCGTCAGAAGGATCTCGCGCGTCTTTAGACAGAGGGCGCGTATCTCACCCTCCGATAGCTGGACGTTCTTGCCGGGACGCGAGCCCCGCACCTCTAGCAGCCTTGAGATGATGCTGTCCAGGTTGAGAGCATCGCCGCCCATGGGGGCCTTTTGGACGGCGCCTCCGACGCCAGTGGCTGGGGTGCTCTCCGGTCGCTTGCTCGTCTGTGAGGCCATCGGGGCGGCTGGCTCTTGTGGCTGTTGGCCCACTTTTGGGCGAACCATAGATAAGAATAAATTGATGGGAGCCCCAATTAAGAGTCTCAAAAGTCTGCTTCCCTTTCCCGTCTTGGATACGTTCGTGGTATCGCTATGCGTAGTAATATATATTACCTCCACTCAACTCGATTAACTGATCGCTTGATCGCTTCGATGCTCCGTTTCAATGCAGATTCATTGATCTGTAGATCTGCTTGATCCTTTTTGTCCTATATTCTTCTGGGCCTTCCTTTCGCTCGTCCAGTTAACGTCTTACTCTGGTCTCCTTACTCGCAAGCGGATGCGAATGTGCTCGAAATGCAACGGTAGTGGAGTGGACGGGACCGGCCAGAACGTCGATTCTAATTTTGCCAACCAAATTTGGATCGAGATTACGATACTAGTGTTACTTATTTATGTGACGATGAATATCAAGTGCTGTTCGGCTCGATAAATATATGACATTTGAAGCGTTTTTCCGATTGCTTTTGCTGACAGTTTTCCCATGCCAGTATCTCAATGTACGCCCTGATGAAGCTGTTGTCTGCCCTTCGCATGGGGCAAATCATTTTAAAACATAAAAACACCCAACTGAAGTATCTGGTCACTGCACATTAATCGTTGATTTATTCTCCCAAACGATCTTCAGAATATTTGTATGCGCTCTATAAAAGTTCCTTTCTTTGTTAACTAAGAAAGAAAACTATCCGTAAATTCTCCCCGCTGATAAGGAAACCTTAAAGCTGTGCTTCTTACTCCAATCTTACCACGGAAGACGCAGACAGGCGTCTGTTTTCCACTATTTGTTTTCATTAGAACTGATGGAGTGGCAATCTTGAAGTGAGGCCTCTGAGGGTTACACATGCTCCGTGTTGCGACCACTTTTGGGCTGCTTGGGGTCCATTCATTTAGTTGTGCCTGTAATTAGCTGCAATTTGTCAGCGTCGCTTGAAAAATTGCAACGCAAACAAGCTGAAGTGGCACGTGGAAAGTGGCATGTGGATAGAAGGGCAGTGAGTGCGAAAAGATGGAGTATCAAATGCAGTGGCCTAATGATGAGGCAACAGTCTGCACCTTCGCACCATCCATCCCTCCTCCGCCGCAACATGGATTGGAACTGTTGTTCTGCCTGGGGTTGAGGTTTCTGGGTTTGGTGGCGCACCTGCACAAGAGACTTGGCCACCCCTCGAACAGCTCCAATCCACTTCACTCCACTCCACTCCACTTCAGTTCTGGCTCTGCCACTGCTCTGGCTATGCTCTCATTTCTGCACCGCAAACAAACAGCAGCAGCATCGTTTATTTTGGGGAAACAAAGGAGACCTCATTTCCTCGATTTGTTTAACCAGAGAGCCGAACGACAACAGCAACAAAGTTTTATAAATGGCTTGGCCCATTGTTGTTCGGCTGTTGCTGTTTGTTGAAATTAATTGGTGTTACACAAATGAGTAATTTTCAATGTACATAAATATTTGCACAAATTGCAATTTGCTGTTGAACCGTTTGGTCGTTCGGCCGGCCAGGGGACATGTTCCCCTCCCCCCACCCGTCCAAGGAGGCCACAAAGGCAGGCAGCACCAACTAGTATATGGTGTGTGTGTGTGTGTGTGTGTGTCTGTGTATATATGGAAGTATATATTTCAAGAGCTGTGCAAACACCAATTTTTATTGTCAAGCGTTAATAATTTGAACAATGAATAATATGAACGGTAAGCATCTGTTATTATTCCAAACAAATCAAAACAAGTGCATGCCCGGAACGAGGGCGCATCTCTACTGCTCTACGGTCTTATAACCCCCGTAGCCGTAACCGTAACCGTTTGGGCGGGGCGCAGAAGTGCTCTCTCTCCCATCCCATCCCATCCCATCGCATCCCCCTCCCTTCCCTGACATCGGCCGCACCGGCCACACACAAATCTTCATAAATTGCAACGGCCGGGGCGACAGTTTTGGGAATTGAGACAAAGTGCGAGAAGAAGGACTCGTATCCGAGGATGTGCGCTCGGTAGGATGCTGTGTTGATGCTGGGGAGCAGCAAAAGGGGTCGACAAATGGGAAAATGATACACTTTACTTATTTTCTACTGCACACACACACACACACACACACACACACATACAGACACAATCGAGAAACAACAAATTGCCACATAAATGTGGGGTGGTTTGCCACGTAATAGATTTTATTTTACTTTTATATCCACCAGACACGGGGCGAGTTCCATGGACAAGAAAGAACACGGGTGTCGCGAGGGGTTTATGTCGTGGCCTTACTTACTTTTACTTTTTACTTTTTACCTTTTGCCGTCCTGATCGGCCAGAAATCAAAAGGGGAGGGAGAGTGAGCGCAACCATGTATAGTACAGGGGAGCGGGATTCAACAAGGGAATTCCCAGGACACTGCTCGTGCAGTGCACTGCTCAAACTGGGGGGCGTCGCAGCTTCCAAGCCGTATAACAATCATGTCTATATGGCAGTTGAGTAAACTTCAAGTGTACGAATTTTTATAGCCATTGCAATGAATGAAACCAACCAGTTTGAATTGAATCCTTTAAAATTTACGATACATCATCAACGTTTTTATCGTTAAATTGCAATGAAAAACGCGAAAGGTGCCATACATACCATACCCATACCCATACCATCCATATTAATAATCGAATTGCATTGAAATGCATATAAAAAACATGTATGAATATTTGTGTGGAAACTAGTTGGGAAAAACACTTGTATCTCTGGCCTGAAATAAGTGAGAGAGTATCACTCATTTTTTATCATTTACTAGAAGGCAAAAAGCTTAAAGATTTAAAAATATTTTATTTTTAAATCTCATTGACACGACACGATGAGTCCGCAACTTTTTATCTTTTTTAAAGCATTTTTCCAGCCTTAAATAACTAGAAATGTTATCGTAAATATCTTTACACTGAAGGAAATGCATTTCGTGACTGCTTTGAGTGTATGGGCTGTTGTCAGGTGGCTCATAAACTTCCACAACCAACAACAACAAACGCTCGAGCAGATAGAGAAGAAGCTACACGCACACACACTAATAAGTTTCAGGGTTAACGGCAACATATTGTTGCTGGCTCATCATGCGTGGCAGTGGCAGTGGCAGTCAGCAGCACTGAAGCCTGGGCCCAAAAATAATGAAGAAGAAGTGGCACGAAAGTGGAAGGAACACAGCCAGGCCAGAAACTCCGGAGTTTACCCACCTTAGGCAACCACCTGCCGCCAACCAACTTCACCCTTCGTCCTTCGTCCCCGTGCTCCTGTTTCAATTCTGGGGCTTTTTTTTTGTTCTTGATTTTTGTTTTTTTTTTTTTCTCGTTTCAATGTTGCTCGTAATTTTTTACACATTGCGGTCCCAGCTTAACTGTGCTACCGGCTGTTTCGGCCTGCTCTACTGGGAGACATATCAATATAACCGGCACACACACACACACACAGCACATCATCCATCCCCTCGCTACCTCCCACTGCCCCCACACTACTCCCCTTTTGTCGCACGTCACGCACACGGCTGTGGAACAAGTGCAGCCAGAAGGTGGGTGGGGGGGTGGGGTGGGGGGAAAGTGGCAATCACACGGCTCGGCGCTGGGCTCTCGACCCTCGGATCCGTTGCGTCGCAAGTCTGTGCAATAAAAACAACAAAAAGTACAACGACACGCTGCACAAACACAAGGACAGCAAGGACACGGGGGATTTCAAGCAGCGCGGCAAAGAGTGAGAGAGAGAGGGAGTGGGAGTGGGAGTGAAATCTAGGGCCGGGGGAGACACGGTAATAGAAATGACATACAAAGTAGCGAACAAGCTTACTATCAGCCTCGGATTCAGAGTCGGGGTTGGCAAGGACTTCCACTTCCCCCCTTACCACTCACCATTCACCACACACCGCCACTCGCCTTCACCCCATCTTTGGTTGTTTTTTGTTTTCGGCGGTGCGACATTAATATGTAGATGCATTAAGTACATTATCCGGGGTTACAACCTCCGGGATAACAGCAACAGCAACAGTAGCATCCTGACAGAAATAAAGGTAAACGTCGCATGGCCGCCGTTTGGCACACTGGTCTGTGATCGATTGGAGACGAACGAGTGACCAAGAAGATCATGAACAAAAATTAAGTGTCTCTCCTTTTTTCTGATACACTTTTGCCAACATTATGTATGCACATATAAATCTGAGATCTATCACACCTATGCAGATTTGATGGAGCTTAAAGAATGTTTCATTTACAGCAGTTTCTATAGAAATTAAAACAAAACTTGAAATCGAGTCTATTAAAATTGCAAATAACCCACAAAATAGACCACAGTAGGCGAAAATCTTTCGCAGAGCCCCCATTTAATGCACAATTTCATCGAAGGAAATCCCTTTTGTTTTCCCCACTGATGATTCCGAGCCCATATATTTACGGCCAATCCCAAATGTCTCAACCCACTGTGGATGGGCGGGCGTATGCATGAGAGGCAGGATGTCTGGATGTCAGGATGGCAGGGGCGGAACAAGCGGAGGAAAATATTATGATTTATTTTTATTATAGCGGGTAAAGTGGTCTTTACAAGCATCAAACAGGGGCACACCAATCGCCCACAGACGCACCGAGTAAAAAGGCAGTTAGTTGGTTTAGCCAAAGGTTGAGCAGAGAGAGCAAGAGCGAGGGAGAGTGCCGCAGGGGGAGTGACGATGCGACTGCGAGTGTTTGTAGCTGGTGGGAGGATGAATAGAAGGAGGAGGAGGAGTAGGAGTAGGAGGAGGGTGGCACAAGTTGTTAAATGGACGGGTGGATTTGCACTTGCCGTGCTGACTGTTATCTTCATTTTTGCTTTCAGTTATATTGCCTGGGAATTCCTGTGGGAGATGCACAGGAGGGCAGCACCAGGACCAGTACCAGCACCAGAATCAGTATGGAACCCTCCTCGTTTCGTAGCTAAAACAAATTGTGTGCCGGGCATGGGCATGGGCATAAAAACAAGCGGATCAAACAGCACAGCGCTATAGGATTCAGGTGGGGTTGGACTGGGACTGGGACAGGAGAGATACAACAGACAGACAGACAGGAGCCGCAAATCGAAAAAGAGTGTTTCCCCCGGATTTGCTCTGCGTTGTTTTGACCGTAGCTCAAGGTTCATTGAAATTGCATTAATGTTCCGTTTGGCTGATAGATAGATGCTACGAGTACCATGCCACCCTCCCCCATGGACCATGGACCATGAACCATGAACCATGTACCATGGACCATGAACCATGAACCATGTATGCATGGCCCATTGTTCTGTAATGGAAATCTGCGTGTATAATCCTCAGACCCAGCTGATAGAAGGGGCGGGATAAACTAGTTATGGCCATTAATACGATCAATTTGATGCTCACTTCGGTGTAAGTAAATAACAATCTTATTGAAAAACAACCAGAAAGTAAACCATTTAGAAACGAAGCTGTAGATACCCTTGCAAAATCCACTTTAGAGTCTCCTGTTCCTTAAATCGTCATTTGATCTTGGCGTTTGATTTACACACATACATACATATATACTGCCTGCAGGAATGTTTCTATTTATATTTTATAGAAACAAATATGCATGTAAATATATCGCTGATCAGGACTTTTATATAGTTTACACATTTGTATTGCTCTCATATATTTTTTGCGCTTGCCATTAACTTAGCGAAATCATAGTACCCTCTGCAAGGGTATCAAAACAAAACATATTCGCTGAAAAGCCATTCGATGGCAATCCCCGTACCCTGATGTGCTCAGCCTCGTCACAGTTGTAACTGATAATTGTAGGGCTGAGCTGTGCCTGGGTTACGCTAAATCTACATACAATATGTCGGCGAGTGTCCTCCGTGCTGGGGTGGATTGTGGGTCAAGTGATGCGTTGATGTGCATTTTAAGCAGGTTAACCTGTTAACTGTCAACCCTTCTCCATGGGGCTGCTGTGCGGAATTTTCTGGGGCGGGCGGAGGTTCCAGTTAGTTAGAGTTCAGCCCAACTGAGCTGATTTGTCAGGTGCGTAAGTTGTGGACAGATGGCCAGGACGAACTTGCTAGACAGTGAACTTCTTCAATGCTACTTTGGTAAGCGCCTTGTCAATTGTAATCTGCAATTTTGCCCATCAATTGGCGGGCGGGCTGTAGGGTTGTAGGAGCAGCCGTAAGTCGATTACGGACCAAAAGCAGTTTACACGAAGTGCAATATTAAAAATGAATGAGTGGAACTGCAGCGACACAAGATGATTGGCTTGGCGAAAGTGCAATTTGCTGTTGGATCGTTCCATTCTTTGGCTGTAATTGTGGAGCACTATTAGGGATACCCCCGCCACGTTTTACATTCCATGTTCCACATGGCGTATGAGTGATGACCATGTCTTGGGGGCGCTGTCCCCCCTCGCATGGATAGCGTCGTCTCGCTCGCTGTCTGCGTCTTCGATTGTCTCGTACATACTCGTAAAAAAAAGCAACAGAGCCGTCTAAATAATTGATGAAGAAAAGGAAACTAAATAAATAAATGAACGAAATAAACGAAATAAACAACGGAACGAAGCGGAACCGTGCGGAGCGAAACGAGGAGCAACGCAAAACAATACAACACGAAACGAAACGGGCGGCAGGAAAAAGCAAATGAAAGTGGAGCCGAGTCGAGTCGAGCCGGAATGGGAACAGTAAATTGTCACTGGATGACACAAAGCTTTCTGCACAAAGAGCCAGCCTAACAAAAAAATGGTACAATGAAAAAATAAAAAAATAATAATACACACACTATACGGACAAATAAGGGAGAGATACTCATAGAGTGGAGAGGGCTGGGCATGAGAATTGTTGAACTTTCACCTAAGCAACAGAAACAGCAACAACAACCACAGAAACAATTGCGATTACGATGATGATAGCCAGTCTTGCCACTAAATAAAGTTAATGCATTAATAATCATAATTTCTTCAATATTTGATGAGCTTTTTTGTGGTGCTCGCTTTTTATGCGCTTTCTGTTATTGTTGGGCCAACATTAAATATGGTCACACATTTAATTATGTCAATCAGTCGGGCAGTAATCGATAACCAGGCAATTGAGTCGATGACTGAGTGGCATTGCAATGGGCAAATGGGAAATGGAAAATGGTAAATTGGTTCAAAAATAGAATCGCAATGCAAAAACCATGTCCAACCAATAAAGAGTCATGGCCCATTGTTTTTCGCCAGAATTTTTCTACAGCTTCTGGAGCACAGCAACAAATTCTACTGGTGGATCAATTTGATTTTGAACTTTATTGCATTTCAAGCGATAAATAAATTGCTTAGGTATTTGCCTGGAAACAACACCCAGCTGGGTGTATGGGTTTATTATTATATCCATCGATTTTTGGTCAACAGAATATACAGATTAATAATTTTGCACACTTTTAATTCTTAAAAGGAATAGGGCTTTTTAATCAGAGTTAACTGCAACATTAAGTGCAATATGTGTGAAAGTTTTACTTGCTATAACATTTCAAATCAAATGGATACTCAAAAGTGAGGATTGGTGATATTATTTGGGGAACTAAGAAGAGCAAAATAAAACCTTTGTAAGATCAATAAATTAGAATCAATGTTAGGCTATTGAGGCAGGCAGATTACTGCTCACTCCGGTCATAAGATTTACAGATGTTTTTTAATGCAGTTCTTGAGCAACTTGTGCCAAGTCATCTCCCCCATTTCAGGGCCTTTCGGAAGCCTCAGCCTTAATGATGATTTATCCAGTTATCCAGTTAGTCTGTGAAGGTTCCCTTCACACTTTTGAATTCCCGTACTCGCATGGGGTTTTTTTTTGGTCTCCGCTGATGGCCAACCCCGCGTTCGACACCCACTCACCCCGCCCCGAAACCACCCTAGTTATCGGTAAGTTGTTTCTAATGTGCACAAAAGACAAATATTTGCTGTTGCCGCCTGTCGCCGCTGGGGCGGAGTGCGGCCAAGGCAAAGGCAACGGCAGGAACAGGAAGTGAATTTCGGTTGCGTGTGGAGTGGCAATCCTAAGTTAACGATATTTACAAAACAATATGCCGACCGCACAACGACAGGAAAAATCAAACAGGTGCACTAAATGAATTTCAATATGATAAACCACTTGTGGTTGCCCTCCGAGCGGGACTCGAAACTGGAACTGGAACTGGGACTGAAACTGGGACTGAGACTACAAATGTATGTATCTATCCCTTTAGGCGGTTGGGATCGGCACGGGATAGAGCGGAGCGGAGCGGTGTGGTGCGTGCATGGAAAATGATTTGAGGGAAATTGAGCCATATGTTGCAAATACTAATGGAAGGAATGGACTACAGGGCAGGATATGGCTGGTCCCCGGTCTCGCCGGAAATATGTAAGTGTAATTTAAATTGAATTAAGTGTACTGTGTGTGTATATTATTTTTTTGGGGGTTAGCGAGAGGGATGGTTCTGCGGCCACGCTGCAGAGTGTACATGGCTGGCTACTGCGCGGGGTGGGGTGGTGTGGGGTTGTGGCGGGTTGCAACAAACATAGATCGGAGCATAAGTTAGCCCAAGCCGAGCCTCAAAAATCTGTGTGATAAATGCCTGCCAAGTGGCCATCCTCACCCTCATCCGCAGCCATAACCAACTATCCAGCTTATCCCCTCTCATCATCCTCATGCTCATCGTATTTCCACTGCCCTCCTCCATGGTGGGCTGCCCTTGCCCTTACTCATTTAGCACAGTTGGGATGAAATTGATAATGGATATTTTGGCTGCTGCCTCTAATTGTTACAAATGTACTTACAACCTGACAACAAACCAGCGCTCAAGCCAGCCCCCTCTCCCCCGGCGATGTGCGTTGGGCGTTGGAGTTTTATGATGGATATGATTATTTTAATTAGCATTATATTTACTCTTATTTACCCTTTGCTTCCTTCCGTCTGCCACTGTCTGCTTCTATTTTGATTGCCTCTCCACATAATTGGCTTTTCATATGCTCGCAAAAGCAACAGCAAAAGCAAACGGAAAACGGGCAGCGGAGTGTACCAGAAGGATTTGGGGCTGTTGCCTCGTAAATTAGTTTAATTTAATGAGTTTTATAATGTTTGTACCGTCGCTGCATCGCTGGGGGTCTTCTGTCTTCTGGCATAACGATTATGACACATGTTACCAGACTTTCTGACAGTTAGCTCGCCCCCTCCTCCCTATCTCGTGCCATTCATGGTTGTTCGCTGGAAAGTTCTGCCTAAGAAGGGGTTGAGGGGTTGTTCTGAGGTGTTCTATGGGCTGGGGAGCTGCGACTCACTTCTTGACGTTTGGTTGAGTGAAGCTGCGGCTTTTATTCAAAAGAGGACTAATCCGATTACATAAACAGACAAAAAATAAGAATCACCGATTCACCTGTCAATGGAAAACTGAAACAATTTTGTTTCTGATACGAAAAGATGTTTCAAAACATACAAAGTAAGTTATATCTTGAATGTGTATAGTCTGTAAAGTATTATTTATTTAAGCGTTACTTCCGCAGAACTGCTGTTTCAAATTTAAGACTTGAAGGGAAAATGTTACCGCCTAACAAACACCTTAAAGATAGGCCCCATGTGGGCCCCTTGCCAAGCGAGGACTCCTTTGAAGAGGCCTCCGCCCTGGGCTCGATGACTAGTGTGGAGCTTAGTGACAGCCAAAAGGTATTACTCAGCGATGGTAGCTCAACTACGGACTTGGAGGAGCCAAAAAGCCAGGCCTTGCGAGAGCGCCCAACCAAGAAGAGTGGCAAGGATGTGAGTCCCACTGACGATCAGTTAAATAAAGCCAAAAAGTAGCTGAAAGAGTTTCCGATGGCGTCATTTAAGCCATACAATGTTATAACCTTGTGGGCGTAGCTAAGTTTATTCAATAAAATTCAAATCTTTCGGCATAATAGTTATGGGATTTCTTTGCTTTGGTCGTAAGATGTGCTGCACCAAAAAATTCCCACCGATTGGTGTATTCCAAAAAAGAATAGTTTTCAAAATCAAAAATCAATAGCCAAGTCGGATATGTTGGATAGCCATGCCTTGACAGTGAGTATCGAGGCATTAAAAAGTTTGGGAATGGATCGGTGGTGAACTTTACGTACTACAATTTCACCATTTAGGTTCCCGGATGGTAGGCCCTGATATCACTCAACTTTTGTTCAATTTACGTAAGTGTCAATCTCAATATCCATCGAATTTTTAACAAAACATTTTTAACTGCCGAATCGGATTCAACTAATCGTCTGCGGATACAAACAAAAGTAAGTACAAATTTCTTCAGATCCAAATCGGTAATTTAAAACAAAACTCCAGCAGAACTGTTGTTTAAATTAAAAGTACTTTTGGCACCAGACGAATATGTCTGAAATTCGCAACCAGGATGAACGCTCGGAGGCCTTGGGCAAGAAGGAAACTGACCAGGACTCGAAGAAAGAAGTGGAATTGGGTGACAGCTCCGGCCAAGAGGAACCTTTGAATTATGATGATGCATCGGTTGAGGAATTGGTCGAGAAGTGGAAGCAGCGTTCCGAGGAGCGCGACTGTCAGTATGCGTCCATCGGTTTGCAGTCTGAGAAGATACTTGCGGAGCTAAGCTCCATTTCTAAGCAAATAAAGCAAATCCAAATAAGCTCTGACGATGACGATACAGATAACAATCAAGCAGTTGGCGATCAAGCAGTTGGCAATAAAGCAGTTGGCAATAAAGCAGTTGGCGATCAAGCAGATGACGATCAAGCAGTTGTTGGCGACTGTAATCAAGGCGAAATTTATCAATATCTTCTTGGTGATCAAGACGATGACGATAAAGAAGAAGATTCTAATGAAACCGCTGCTGATCAATGGGATGCCGCTAAATTATTTGGTTACCAGGGGAATGCTGGTCAAGGGGATTCGGATCAAGACGATGCTGGCAAAGGCGTCTCGTCGGTGCTGCCGGAATATTTTACCTTCTAGGCGCAGTTTACGTTGTTTATTTTTATTTTTTAATTAAATTTTAACTTTTTCGGCCAGCTTTTGGTTTTGGTGATTGTCAAAGCATATGCAGCCAGGTGTGCTCTGCCAGGTCATTCCCAGGCCCTCCCCTCCTTTTCGGTGTCAATATTTGATGTGAGACTCGAACGTGTGCTATGGAGGCGGAGGCCACTGTCAAACCTTTTCATCGGTTAACACAATGTGCGAGGTCTCTCATCGTGGCGGCGTTTGTGGTAACGGCCTGGTGTCCCGGTTCGAATCCAGTTAATTTTAGGCTCTTTGATTAGTTCCCTTTTGTGGCTTAAGCCTTGGCCAGCCATTTATTTGGTCCTTGATGAGTCATAGGCTGCAATTCGGGGGAGAGAGTCATCGGTCATGGGTCATAGGTGAATAGAGGATATGGGATGGGGGTGAATAGTTTTCAGTGCAGCTAAATGGAATCCCGGCCTGCATCTGACACGTTTAACTCTTTGTGAGTGCGACTATTTCCAGGTAAACTGAATCCCAGAAAAGAAAACTAATTTGTTAATAATTCCTTTTAGCGAAGAGATGCCCTGGGGTGGCTTTCGGGTTCATCTTTCCGGGGTGGGGTGGGTGATTGAGTGGCATTTGCTGGCGGCACCTGAGACCTCGACATCGACATCGAAATCGAATGGAAACTAAGCACAGTTCTCGAATGCGTTGCCTGAAGAGTGTTTGCCGAAAATTAAGGACTGCACGAGTCGGCCACGCTGCACGCACTGGCAATTGGGAATGGTTATGGGTTATGTGCCAGTGGGGGTTGGGTTGGGTTGATGTTGGGACACAGCCAACCACCGGCGGCAATGGCGCGTGGACAGTTCGCCCTTTCGTCATGCTCGATTGTGCCGAAAACAAGTGCCAACTGCAACAACATGGGCCACAGGAATAGGCACAGGCACAGGCAACAACAACAACAACAACAAGCACAAGAAATGGAAATACTCGTGAGGCTAGAGACCTCAAAGGGAGTCCAAATGGGAAACAGGTTGCTTGTGTAATTTGATTACAATCAACTTCTAATAGAGCACCAACCACCAGCACAGCGACACAGACATAATTCACTTGTGCCACTGTCTGTCCCCCCACCCCTTCGCCCAACTCCTGAAGCCCCTAGTCACCACCACCACCAACGCCTACGCCACCATACACCCATCCATCCATCCATCTATCCATCCATCCGTACGGGAAGTTTCGGAACGCCCAGGACCAGACCACGTAGCCCGCCTCGAGTTGAAGTACAATACAATTAACGACACGAATCATGATGTGCTTACCTGGCAAACGACCGTCACGTGGCACGTTCCCAGAAGGCTTACACGTCACAATTTTAATTTTATTAAAGAAACATTTCAAATTAACCGCACACACACACACACTCGTACACTTGCATATGTATCTGTGTGTGTTTGTGTGTTTATCTATAGGTCGACATGCGTGTGACCGCTGAAAACGGAAATTGAAGTTCTCGACTGTCCCAATGCGACAATCCGCTTCCACCTCCACATCCACTACTCCCCCCAAACATTGTTCGTCATCATGGAATGACTTTCAAAATTTTCCAGCCTTCTAGAAATTGGCTAATATCCCATATCCGATACACACGCACACAGGTGCTACACACACTCGCAAATACAAAAGCTGAGCTGCACAGGGAGCCAGCGCAAGGTGAGTCAGTCCAGTCAGCCATTAGAGTCCAACTTCCGGACAGGATTTGGCTCTTTAGTTACCTACTTAGTATAGCAGCAAAAATGGTCAAACAGAGCCAGAAAGCTGAGGTTTTTGCGATGGTGGTAGCTCACAGGGTAGCAGAAGGGTGCAGTTAAGAGAACCCACCCCCTCCACCGAATTGATAAGGTCTGCCTATTTATATAATTAAAACAAGGATTGGTATAAAGTAGGCTCTAGTGGTGTTTATGTCCGTTCATCTAACAATTTAAAATTATAAAAATTATAATTATAAAATTAATTAAAAATAATAATAATAATTATAAAAATTATTATAAAATTACAAAAATTATTATAAAATTATAAAAATTATATTGGGAAATGTATGAATTTCGGCAGCTGTCCCAAGTGGTTTAATGCCTTGTAGGGGTATGATGTGTGATTTTTTTCAAATTCTTTGATCTTAATGCTCCCCCGAAACTGACCCATATTTGTATGTATGTACATAAATATCATCTGCGAATGTTTCGATGCATAATAATTGCTGCAATTTCTCCACTCATGCAATACATTTAGGGAATTTTCAAGAGGGATGGAAATAATTATAAGGGACACAATAACTCTTTCTGGCAACTTGAACATTCAGAAAGTCTACAAGTTGTTACTTCTAGAGTTATAATCATGTGAGGGTGGGTGTGGGACTCACCTGTAATGGTCGTTGCGGGGGCCCACTCATTGTGTGGTGATGATACATCACATCGTGCTTGATTTGGGAGGGCATTTGGCTATGTACATGCTGGGCTTGGTGTTTCTGGATATCGACGGCAGCCAGGGCCTCCGCTCTGCTGAGAATGCCATCGTTGATGCCCGCAAAGATATCACCCTGTAGAGAGAAAAAAATAGAGATAAAGAGAAAGAGAGAGAAAAGGAGCGGCAGGAACCGAGCGATTAGTGTAATGCCGATACATAATTGGGCACTATATGTCTATGATTATTATGACTAAGTAGACACATCTAAGACCAGGCAGGAACACATTAAAAAAATATTCAGAATAAATCGCCAAAATTCAATTCGAATTTTTCGGTTAAACAAAGGCAATGATCGACATAAGATATAGTATATACAAATAGTAGATAACATACAAATGCATATATGTATATATAAAGATATACGCATGTACATAGGTAAATACAAGTACATAAGTAGATCTGAGTCGGCGATATCAAATGAGAGAGAACGAACGTGAATACGAGAGATCAAATATGTAGGTAGTATCAAAAATAGGATATTGGGAAAGGAAAATCAATCAGGGCTGGTTTCTCATTTTTTTTGTTGGTTTTTTAGTGTTTCTATATACGAATAGTTTTTTGTTTGTTTTTTTTTTGTTGTGGTTGTAACTTACGTTCTGACGTGCTGACCACGAATTGCATAATAGGGAAGCATCTTCTAATAAACGACTCTGAAAAGACGAGACAAGCATCGATAGTATGTATGTGTATAGATTGGTAGACGGATTGATCGATGATCGATTGATAGCTATCGATGGATAGAGAAGTAAAAGATTCGGTTCAGAAATACCCTCAATATGGTTTCGAGTCCTACAGGTTGCCATCACGATCAATCCAACGGATTTATATAATTGTTCCCCCAATTCAACTGGCCTTAAATTGTGGCCAACCTGTCGCGTTTTTAAGGATTTAACCAGTTTTTGGTCTTATTGATTTTTAGTACCCCGCTTAACTCTCCCAAAAAACTCTTTCCTCCTGCCGCCAGCCCGGCTGGCCCGTACTCGACCCGTTGGCTGGTTTCTAAATAAATAATATAAAAAGTTTTTGGTGCTTGTTTTGGTACAAAAACCTTCTTGTTCATCTTTACTTCGTCGCCGTCGGCGTCTTTATTATTCCAGTCATATCGATTTTATACATACCTATACATACACACATATACATGTCTTTTATATATATAAATATATGTATTGGTATGTGTACAAACCTCCTTGTGTATACGAAACTCGCACGAATTTTTCAGTTAATCAATTATTTAGATGCGCACAAAACTTCCAAACGCCGCACGTCGAAAACGAAAGACATGTTCGTAGTACCCCTGGTACCAGAGGCACGGCACAGGGTCCACTTGAGCCACGGATGTGTGGGCGAGAGGTGAACGGTGGGTAGGTAGGAATAAGGCTTCGACAGGGAGTGAAGGGTGACGTTTGACGGGTGCCCAGGAGACAGAGCCAGAGCCCACATGGCCAAAAAGGCATCGCTCACGTTTGCCGCACATTTCGAGCCGAAAGGCGTAATTCGATGGGCCCATAGACATTAGCCAGGCTTTTCCATCTTCTCTGTCTATTTCCCTTTCTCTATCTATATCCCAGTCTCTTTCTCTCCAAAGCAGAACCGCAATAGGCAAACGACGGCCATTGTAGAAATCAAAATGTTGTGCATTCTTAATGATGTCTTGGCCATACCAAACCCTTCCATTCCACGGACGACCATGGCCGAGGAGCCCAAAAGCATAAACTCGGTCGGTACGGCCATGCCATTTTGTGGGCGTTGTGCAAATAATGTGACAGCGACAGTCTGTTGGCCCGGTCCGGAAACCCTTTTTGTGTGAAGGCAACGGGTAACTTTACGCTTTGAGACAGTTTACGTGCAACCCCATCCATTTCGGTGTCTTCCATAATGGGCTAAGACTTTCAATCCAAATTTAAGTTTTCCTATGCCTCAAATAGTGCTAAAATTTACCACAGAGTCCAGCATGAGAAACTAATCTGACTAATAAAGCAGAAAAATACAAGTTTAATTGTTAGTCAGAACCGATAATAAACAAAATATCAATCATTATATTGTATGAAATGTTTATTAGAAATTAGTTCACGAGTCAACAGGAGAGAGGATCCACCCTATTTCAGTCATTATCCAATGGTAACCATGTTCGGGAATTCCCTGAATTGAGGATTCGAAATATATTTGAAACTTTATTCAGTTCGGAGTCTGCACACAAAGTCCAGCTGCTCTTCGTCTTGATTGTTTCTGATCAGGAATATATTGTAAATATGTAATGCTTTAATGCTTTACATATGTACATGTACATATGTACATTAAGATACATTTTCCTTGTATTCATTATTCAGGGGTCTAAATCCTAAAGAAACGATGGAAACGATTTATAAAGCTGCTGGCTTCATCGAGCAACTGACAATGCAGATTACTATAGCGGAATTCTACAATTACAAAGCGAGAAGATGCATAGTTTTTGGGCCTACGGTAAAGCGTATTCCTAAATACTATATATTATGTTTAATAGTCAGAATCAATCACTGAAACATTTCCCCATTCAAGCAAGCTTTCCGACCAGGAGAGCCTTGCTATAAAAGCACCGCACAATGCAATGCTATATGCTATATGCTGTTCTCTGTGTCTCTCTATCTCTGTTTGTCTGGCAACAGTTTGTAATAAATTATAACAGTAAATTAATTTATGAATTAATATGCGCAGTCATTCATCAAATTATGCAACACCGGCTCGCACCCCAATCCTCTCTCCTACCGTTAGTTCTCGGCCTGTCTCGCTCTGGCCACGACCTAGGACATGCCGGAGCCTAGGCTCTGTCTTGACCTGCTCTCCGACATCACAAACACACACACACACATGCAGAGAAAGAGGGGAATAGAGAGAGAGAGAGTGTGTGAGAGAGTGAGTGAGAGGTGAGAAGGTGGCTGGTGGAGCAGGGCGCAGGGGGCGGTGTGGAGCCCGCAGTGCAGGTTGACACTTGCACATAAATTCTTTATTAGTGTGAAAAATTAATCAAGTGAACTGTTTTTTTTTTTTCTGCCGTTCTCTTCTCGTGAGGCAAACACGTGAGCACCGGCTTTCCTCTCCCTCCCTTTATCTGTCTCTTTCTGGCAGTGGGTTTTTGTTTATGTTATGTGTATTATTTGATTTTTTGTTGTTGTGTATCTTTGCTGGAATTTAATATTTATGATGTGTGTAAATAGATACGCATTGCTGCATGCTTAATTTTTATCGATTTACGCTGCCAAAAACACACTTCCCAACACTGGAGCGATGCCAGCCACTGAATGGATTTAACATTGAAGCTGAAATCAAATGAATTGTGACGCTTTAAAGGGTTTTATTTGTGCCGAATGGAATGCGGAAACTGTTGCAGGAGATCCGAGATCCCTAAATGTACGTACGTACATATATAATTAGAATTATAATGAGGTGGTTGGGTTACGGAGACTTCAGGAGATGGAAGCATACCATTAAAGTTGGATTACAACCTGAAGGCATTACCATTACCCATTCTAGTATTTAAAGAATTTCTCTAACGCTGAATTATTATAATTATTTTATCACTTGTTGAACTGATATTTTTATGTGCCTTATTATGCCCAGAACAAATCTCTTATTTGTGGACTAATAAATTTAATGAGAATAACTTGCTAATTCTATTAAAGATCTGTTTAAGTATGGGAAGTTATAGTTTTGGTCTGTGGGACAGCGTATAATCGAAAACATATCCAGTGCTTCTTAGGTTTATTATTTTGGTAGCAGATTGGTAGCCAGTGGAAACTTTTAGAAATATTCTTTTTGAAATTGAAACTAAAAAATGCGATAGCTTGTATGGAAAAACAGGACGAAATGTAGAAATTCTAACTGAAATATCTTTTATATAAAAAGAACAAATACCACTTAACGTAGAGCCAAACACTAATTAAACTACAGTCAAACTACCCCCACAGTAAATTGTAGCCTCTCCATGGGTCTAGCGATAACAACAGTATATAAATCATAAACCTCATAAATCGTTTGTAAAACTTATATATGCTTCTCATTCTATGAATAAAATGTAGTTTGAATTTACAACTCAGCTCGCAAATGTCTAGACTGCTCTTCACATAATATGCTAAAATTGTAATGTATTGTACTTCAAATCTCATTAATCCGATTTTCCTGATGAGTGGAATTTTGTTGTGGACTTAAAATATATTCAGAGGCCGTTTATACATATGTACATACTATATGTATATACATAGCAATGGCTCAACCTATTTCACCAATCATAATCCATAGTAGTTCATTATAAATACATAAAGCTATCAATAAGATAATTGCATGTGATTCAATACAAAATTTTTCTCCCCTGCCTCATCCTGGCTCCTCTTTAATCTCTCAGCAGCAGAAATCGAACTTGTTAATCCGCTTTTGCTGCCAACAATTAAAATTACAATGGATTTACCTGCGTAGGGTAGGTACTATGATTTGGAAGGAAGTATCTCCGACCTAATGGCAGAGTTCTAAGAAGTTTAATCAAAATCGGACAATGCCTGGCTCAGTCAGCAAACAAAGTTTATGTATTTTCTATTGTTCAATTAAGTTCTTAATTAACTACTTATTTGGCAGCGTATCAACAGCTTCATTACCCACCATCAGTCATTTTTTTGTTGATCTGCCAATAATTTGACAATTGTTTTACGCTGGTTTCGGTTTTTAATTTCAAGCACATTTGTCGCGGCCATTAAATGCAGTTTATGAATATTTAAATCAAATTAACACCGCCGCTGTCCATTTAACGCTGCCGACAAACAATTCAAGTGGCGGGCGCCGTCTGCCATCTGCCATCTGACAACGGGCACCAGCCAGGGCCCTCGACCTCATCCGTATCCGTATCCTCATTCTCATCCTTAGCACCCTCTGTATCAGTCTCACACCCTCAGAACAAGCCAACCAAATCCCAATTCCACTCCCAGTCCCACTCCAACTAGAACCCGCCACCTGCTGCCGCTGACGTTGTCTGTTGTCTGTCTCTGTCCAAGGGGATCGGCGACAAATTTCCATTTAATGGACTGCAAGGCGTTAAGTGTTTTTGTAACCAGCTAAAAAGCGCGTCTGTCCCACTGTCCTTTCAAAGCGAAGGACTCTTCGATGCTTGCTTGCTTGCTCGCCTTGATTCAACTTTCAGGCCTAATGCGCTGCCACAGCCAAGGCAGCCAAGGGTAGCATATAAATCCTATAAATCCGCCGCTTTGATCATTCGCCTCGGTCCGCTGCCAGCTTCCAAAAAGCCGAAAAGTGGCTAACTGTAATCAGCCGGGGCTGAGCTGGGCGGGGTGCGGTGCAGTGCGGCGCTGAAGAGGTCAAAAAAAAAAGAGCAGCACGGGTCGGGGGAAATTGGGCAAGTAAATCCGATAAGCAAATGTAGTTGTTGCCTCTTAAAGACAAATACACTTGAAGTGATTTCCTCTTCTGCCGCTCACTTTTTTCCTTTTTTTTTTTTATTCTCCCTATTTAAAGTGCTTCTCTGTCAGATTAATATGGAAAGAAGGCCAGGGATGCAGGAAGCGATTGGAGTGTTGGGAAGGGGGGTTGAAAGATATCACCCCCTCCCCACCGCTCTGGTACTGCCAGTCACCTGTTCATGCCAAGCAATCAACTTTTCCCTGCTCTTCCTCTTTGGGGTCTCGGCAATTTCCCCATTTATAATGTCTGCCACCTTCCAGCCCAACCCTCCTTAACATTTTCACTTTTTTTTTTTCCTTTCTTTTCTTTGCATTCCCGTAGCTCATTTGTTTATGCACATTTTGTAACGGGGAAAGGGGTATGACGAGTAACCCTAAACAATTCCAGAGTTTTCCTATAAAATCTGATTGAAAATGTATAGGGTTGAAGATTTACCTTTCAATTGGTATGTCCTAAAAAAAATATCGAGTAGAAGGTTTCCTCAAACTCTTTAAACATTAACAAATTAAGGAAGAATACCTAGTGTTGATCTCCTCGAAAACATTATTATCTTCAATAATTTCTTCTATATTCTTTCTTGGCTCTAGAAAAATATCTGGAAACTGATTTAACATCAAAGAACAATGAAAGCAGAACTTGGAACATTGCAATATTGACAAAGGCTGCTACTTTTAAAAGTGTAAGTTCTCTACATCATAGTATTGAAATTACTTCCAAGTATAGATTAATTATATGTGTACAAACATTTAAGAATGTCCCATTAACTATCCAGTGTAAACCCCACTTCGGTGAGCCCGGGCGTAACATTTTCTATTTTTGTTGACTCTCTGTGTTTAAACAGTTTTGTTTTTTTTATTTGTCTCGCTGGTCAGCGCATACAATAGTAAATAAATAATTAATGCAAATGAATTACAAAACGCTTTTCAAGGTTGCAGTCAGTCACCAGCCAGCGCCATTTGTGGGCCGCATAAGCCCAGTAAGTCTAGGCTAGGCTGAGGCCGCTGAGAAGTCGGTAACTTTTGCGACTCTTGCGCAATAATTAAGACAAATGTTGCCTTGCCGTTGGGGTTCGAAAATGGCCAGAGTAGAGTGGAAATGGCCAAGCGAAAATGCGAGTGAAGTTCAATGTCAGTTAGAATTTTGTTTCGCTCTCCGTTTCCGCAAAGCTCCATGCCGTGTTGCTTCCTGATGTCAGTGACCAGACCCTGGCATCAATAAACTTGTCTGAGAACTGTCGGTAATAACCATTTAATGTCTGCCCGTGTTCCTTTTAAATTTTTAACTCACGCCTCATAAAAGATTCAGAAAGTCAGGTGAACTGCGAGACGTCTGCCAAATCCTCCCTATTATTCGTTATTAATACATTCATGCAGAAAGACCCTGACATTGTACTCGCATATACATATGTAGGTACGAGTATGTAGGTGGCAGATGGTAGATGGAATTTCCTGAGTTTCAGGTGCCCCTAACTGGGTTGGCATTGGGAACAAAGAAAGTCATTATTTAAACCATCCAAAGAATAATACCACAGGCTCTATGAGTTCTGCGTCTAAAGCCAATTTTTAAGAACTTATTTCCATAAACATTGTAGGAAACGGATTTAAAATTCTTCATCAATTTTGAGTGTAAAATCAATCTGCTTATCAATCAAATATGACCCAGTAATGGCTAGTGCGTATTGCTTTTGTGTAGCAAGAAATTTATAGTGCATCATTTTTAATAAACCCAGAATATAAAAATCGAATATTAATCATTGCAAACAACAAATTGTAGACTAACGAAAACATATTCAAATAATCGTTGTTGGTTTTAATTCTTAGTTCAACAAATGCTTGGACTTGCTTCGTTTTCGATATACTTATTAAAGTATCAAGGATCCAGCTACATTAGACATTCAAAATTATCTGAATTTTGTATTTGAGAGGATTCAGAATGGGTTCAGTTCGATTTCTTATTGGACTTTGGATAGATTTAGCTTTAAGGCTGCCAAGTCACTTCCGAGTCATCTTCTTATGTGACTGATGGATTCGAACTGGAGTCCATCGGACTCTAATTGGGCATACAATTGTTCCTAAGCGAATTTTTTAACTTTTTTGGAAGCGACTTTGGAATCAGATTAGATTTAGTTTTTTTTTCAAGTAAGAAGCTTAAAATTTACGAAAAATACTTTGAAAGAAAATATGGAGAAAATAGCTTTTCCAAATAGAGATTTTGAAGTAATGACTAAGGGGTATACAAAAACTGATTAAATATGCAAATCTCAAGGAGAAGTTTGACCAAGCCAAAATTTAGATATGTACAATGTTCATGTTCATTTTTTGCAGCATTCAGGTGAATTGGAAATTGCATTGAAAGACTTGGACTAATATGAATATTTAAATTCATGGATCATAAGCACAATAGCAAAAAAATGGTCCTGTTCAACTAAACTCTCTATCGAAACCCTCTGATCATCGTGGATAGCTCCTCCGGTATAATGGGAGGGCCACAAAAACCCTTAATGAAGGAGGGGCGGGGGCTGGTGGGTGGTGGCTGGTGGCAGCGGGTATACTTACAGATGGATTTGGCATGCAGCGCCGCATTTGCTCCGAACTTCGATAGGAGGGACTGTAGCGTCCTGGAAAACAACTGGGCGCTGACATTTTCATTTTATCCGTTGTCGAGTACATCGACATTGTCATGCAGCCGCCGACGAAATCCTCCTCCAGCTTGAACGCCCTTGAGGCGTCGAATGTTGTTGGCGAGTAAATCTTGAAGCACTTACTTGGACGATTTTAGCGCGTGTCCTGCATGCAGGATCAACTATATCGAATGCACAAAATCTCTCTACGCGCTCCCTCTCTCAGCGCTCGATTTTCTTTATTATTTGATTTTTATTCTTTTATTCTTATTCGATTCTCTGGATTCTTCAGCACTGCACTCGAGAATTTTTAGCTTAGCTTTTGTTGGCTTTTCTTTTTGGGCGGTAGTTTCTCTGCTTTCGTGTGACGCGGATTGAAACTGAGAAAAAAAGCACAGGAAAAAAATGTTGCATACAATGCGTCGTTCCGCTGTCGGTAGGACCCACGGGTAGGACCCACACGTTTGCCGTCGGTGCCAAAAAACACGCGCAACGGTAAATTCAGTTAGCGGTTCGGTTCGGTTTGGTTCGGAATTTGTTTGTGGGTCTCACGGAACTGTAATTGGATTAGCACCGCCAGACCAGGCAGGCAGATGGGCAGACGGGACAACCAGCGGGCAAGGGTGAATCGAATCGGTTAAGCGGTTGAGCGGTCAACGAGTGCACATCACACACACATTTGGGGAGCTGTTTACCGTTTCACGTTCGACGTTCGACGTTTGCCGTTACACGTTTGGCGCTTATCGTTGCGTTGCGTGACGTTGCGTTACGCTAAGAGAGCGTCTCTTGCTCCTTTGGCTGCGTTCGTGGGGTAAGCCCAAGCCAAGCTCTGGGCCAAAGAGCCAAGCGGAGCTTCTTGTTTCGTACCGGTACCGTTCTCAAAAGCTTGCTTCCGCTTTCGCTTGTGCCAGTCTCTGGGTGTATGTCTCTGTGTGTGTCTGTCGGTCTGTCGGTGAGGAGGATTGTGTCAAGCCGTCGCTCCAATGAGCTCCTGGATCTTGGGCTCAGCTGTTCGATGGATGCGTTTTTGCTCGTGTCGCTGTTTTGAGATGTATCCTTGGCCGGGTGTACTTTAATATCGGGTATATCCTTTTTTTGTCGCTATTTGTCTCGTTGTCTCGCTATCTCGTTGCCGCTACGGCCCGCACTCAGCGCATTCAACGCATTCAACTTTGGTCGAAACTAAACGCAAGCGAACAGATTTCACAACTAGACAAGCGCGCGTGGTGTTGTGATAAAGAATTCTATGATGAGTTTCGCTAACTTCGGAGTTTATTTTCAATGGGGCGGACGACATGTTTTCATTATTTATCAGCGTGGGCGTGGCCCACGCCATCCACCCCTGCAAAATGGCAGCCACGTCCTTTATGTAATGCCAGCCACTCGCCTCCGATTGGTCGCTGTCGCTGTGCTGGCAGCGACGCCGGCAGTTTCGTTCAGCTGGAATTGGACAGAGCCGTTGTGTCTCTACCTGGCGGCGGCGGCAAACTTGACGAAGCCAATGCCAGTGTGGCGGCCTCAGAATGCGGCCAGGCGACTGCGCACTGCGCCACTGGGGGGGGCCGGCAGGAGGCCCAGTTCCACTTCCATGCCCATATCCGGACCCAACCACCCCGCCAGCCCATGGCCCAGCCGCATCCTGAGAGCGAGCGAGCGAGTGAGCATCGCAATGCCCCGCGTCCGGCATATGGCACAATTTTTGTTGTATTTTTATTTTACCTTTTTTTTCTCCTTATTTTTTGGACAGGCAACGTGGCAGCGAGGGGACAGGGTGCTTGGGAGAGGGTCAGAGAGGGGCACAGAGGGGCTCAAACAAAAGGCACAAAACGGCAACACGGCCAACAATGCCAAAACAAAAATGGGCGTACATGTCGTTGTGGGTGTGCGAGTGGGCGGAAATTCGAATACAATGTGGTAGGTGGGGCTGGCGTTGGCGTTGGCATCGGGGATATGTTGCAGGTACTGCCAGCTGCCAGGGAGTGGAGGAGTTGTGTCAGTTTGAAGTGGAATGGATGAGGCCTAGTTGTTGCACTGTATTGTAACTGTTAAAAGCATGCAACATTGCAAATCTCTTAAAGGGTGTTATCCAACGAACCGAACAGGGTGCCTCATCCGAAGAATGTTGCTCCAGAGTAGATTCGGAAGCTCAAATGAAACCTCAGCATAATTCTAATAATCTTGACATTTACATATTAATATTGCATATGTACATATTTATGTTCCTATTGTATAAATATTTTTCTCTCAATTTTTTTTTTTTTTTCATTTTTATAAATTTTAAAAATGTACTTAGCACCCAATGGATGTGCTGGAGAATCTCTAAAGGATTATTGGATCTTGAAAACAATATATTCGTATGTCAGTGTACGTTTTGTGTTGCATGATTGATAGCAAGAATAAGTTTAGTGAAAAGAAACGACTTTCAGGTTCTTCGCCACAATTGGACCGGATGCAAAGTGTCAGCCTGGTTAATCAAAGATATAGCTATAAGCTTATAAATATATCAATCATGCTTAAATATCAAATATTTTTGTGACTGTTTCAGACTGAAATCAGTTCAAATAAAAAATGTATATGTGTAAATATATCGGAAACTATAACTTGAAATATATATCTTTTCCAAGCATAATTTTTGCCATTTCACACAGCTAAAATAGTTATCAGAGTATCAGAGTTTTAAATTTTGCGCCTATGCCGCCATCTATATCTGGCGTATGGTCACAGTCCTGTGAGATTGAGACAGCTATATCTGGGGTATGTCATTTGAGATAGCGCCATCTATGTCTGGCATATGCTAAAAATCCTGTGAGATAGAGCAGGATGCTTTGAAGCTTTCTTTAGCTTTGGCTTGGCAAAAAAATGTTGAAAAGCACCAAAAAGCCCACGAACTTTGAGCTTCAAGAAACTTTTTGCTAATATTATTGAAGCTTTTCCAAAAGTTCTTAACCACCTAGCCCAAAAAATCCAAGAAACACACAATTAAATTTCATTTTCTGAGTTCACTTTCATGTTCATTGTTTTCATTTCATTTTCTGTTCGTTTTTTTTTCGCGTTTGTTTTTTGTTTTTGTTTTTTTTTTTTGGTTTTTTTGTACAATTATCTAATACATTCGAAATCGTTCATATTTCACAAGTTATTTGTAGAATCGTGTATAAAACTTTTTACAAGGATAGTCTAGTACGGGAGTTCAGCATGACCAAGAGTACCCCCCGCCCCCAGTGGCAATGTGTAATGCACACCGGAGATGAGAATGTATGTATGTAATTACGAATTGGGTGGCTGGTGGTGGGTGGTGGGTGGTGGGTGTTGGGTCTGGGTGATGAGCAATCAATGAAGCACAACATGGCCTATAATGAATTTCATAAATTCGTTCAGGAATCATAACACCTTGTTGCATACGCAAGCTGATCTAATCTGATCTGATCCAACGATCCTCTCGATCCGATCCGATCATTTTCTATAGCCTACAAAATACGTACATATTGAACCTAAGTTAATTGCATATATCTAAAAACATTTAACAAAAATTTGAACTAATGCGCTAAGCTGGCAGCAAACGATTGGAAACGATGTGCGAGGAGCGGGGAAGGTTCGATCTTTGGGAAGACTTGCTTGTGGGGTGGGGGTGGGTAGCGTAAGCCTACTTAGTATTCTAGCTATTCCAGATTCCAGTGAGATCTATGGTCCTATGTCAAGTGTTATTATTTTGTGATGTGATGTGATGTGCATTGCAGTCGCCTATGTATGCAGTTAGGCAGTTAGGCGGCGTGTGTGGGATTTGTGCTCCAATTCCGGTTGGTCTGTGCGTCATTTGGTGGTACGATTTGCATTGCTTTGATTTGCTTATCTCGTTGCACAAAATCTTCTCTTAGAATCATCCAAAAGATGATAATCACATAGCTTTAGTTCTAATAATCTAGTGCTCCTTTCGGCCTAGCAGGCCGTAGACGATGCGTTTCCGGGCCTGAACCTCGGCCCGCATCGCCTCTGTGTAAGGATCGAAGGAGAGCAGGCGTTTCTTTCGCCTGAAGATCCCTTCCTTGCGCAGAATGGCGCACCGCAACAGTGTCTCGTCGATGGGGAACTGCAGGAAGTCGAGGATGGCCCGCAGCTCGCGCTCCGTGTGGTGCACTAGGTCGTCGTAGAATACGACTTTAATACTGCCCGTAAAATTGCGCGCCCAGCTGAGATTCATTAGCTCCCAGCCCTTGAGCTTATTGCTCACGAATTGCTGCCAATCTGTGAAACGGAAAGAAACGAAAGAAAATTAATGAAAATTGTATAGGATTTCGTGAATTTTATGACGTACATTTACCCTTTGTGCGCTTGTAGCGATCAGGTGAGGCGAAGCCGATGTGTCCTCCGCTCTGGCGATTGAACTCGGCTATGATCGCCTTCTCGGGATCCCGCACCAGGAGGATTGCTTTGGCGAATGGGGCCCAGGCCTTGCCGCCCCATTCGTGCGTCTTCACCAATAATACTGAGCTGTTGCACACGTTCTCCGCGGGGAAGCCCGTCTTGAGCAGTCCGTAGTCTTTGTAGATGCTGCCCGTCAGCACTCCCGTAGCCTGCTGCAGCAGATACCTTAGCCAGGTGTTGCCACTGCCTGGGAAACTGGCCAAGGCCGTCAGCGTGGGCGAGGCGGCCTGCAGGCTGGTACTCACATCGCTGGGCAGTGCTGCTGAATGGAATGTAAGGGATGGGGATGAATGCGGGAATATTGGCATTGGGAACGGATTGCTACTCACTGTAGAAGTCGGCCCTGTAGTCTGTGTAGTTTGGAAGATCTCGATTCATGTACTTGAGGTCGCGACACCAGCGAATGGTCATCTTGCGGCTGGGCATGGGGAACCGAGGACTATGAAAGCTGGGAAACTGTAGGTCGTCAGATGGATGAAATGAATGTTTGTACTCAGTCTCCAGGGGGAGGGTGAACAGCAGACTTACCTCGGCAAAGCGCTCGATGCGCGGCCGTTTCGGATGCGACCCGGGTATGTTGTTCATGGAGAGGAATAGGACGCCGCCTATGTAGATGATGATGGTCGCCGAGACACCGAAAAAGCGCCAGCCTTGTAGTGCCATAACGCCGTCTTTGCATTACTGAAAGCGGAACACGGATATGCTGTATTATATTGGGTTTATTGAATCCAATATGTAAAAATAATTCAAATGACTATGTTCGCATTAATGAAGCCAATTATCCCGCTCCTATACCCACCCCGGCGGCTCCTTCTGTTCGACCGTCGACCTGTCTGTCTGTCTGTCTGTCTGTCGGTCTGTCTGTCTAAGCGAAAGCTTCGAACCGAACGGGAATCAATTTCAATTTCGGTTTCTGTTTCTGGTGTTTTTGTTATGACAACGAAACAAATGCGCAAAGACTAGGCCCCATCGACAGCCATTTCCATGTGCTCTTTCGAACTTCTGCGGGCCTGGCCCTGGGCCTCCTGGGCCTGAGACTGTTGCGGCCTGTCTTGTAACCCCGAACAACCCAACACAGCAGTGACAGCAGCGGAAACAAGGGCCGCACTTGAGCCCCAAGTGAAAGGCGATGGAATGCCGAGTAGGCAACATTTCACCCCACAATTTTGTCAGCAAAGGCGACTTCTGTATACGCTTGGAATTTATTATATAAGGTATAGTTTCCGCCTGTGGGTGATACTTTTCTATGATCTCAAAGATCTCATTTCACGCTTCAATTTTATTGCAATCTAAATAAAGTTCAGTCTTTAAATCGTTTTTATTTAAATTAATTCTTCAGAAAACTTTTGCTATAGTTTTAAAAAATTTAATTCAGGCTGCAGTAAATTTCTACAATTTTAAATTTAATTTCATGATAAAATTGAAATTTAATTTGTATTTATTTCCCAAAAATAAATTCCCAAAAACTAGGAAAGACTTTTTTCCCCATCAATCAATGTCAAGAAAGACACACCCGACCGAAATGGGTCAGGATCTGGCCCAATTAATGGCCAGAGGAAGCTTATGGATAGGACTCAATTTGGTGGTGAGTAAAGTTAAATTGTGTATGACCACAAAGGGAGTGTATTGAGGAGCAAGAAAAGAACAAGAAAAGAAGGCTTTTGCCTTGTCATGCCTTGAACGAGCAACGAAATTCCTTGAGCTGCATAAAACGCTCACGAAGTCCACAAAAAAACACCCATACACACGAACACATATGCCTCACTCACACACACACACACACACACATAGAGAAGACAAGCAGCTAAATGCGAAAATTTATGCAACAGCTGGGCAAACTGTGCGAGGGGTGCTCCAACCAGGCAACCAGCCAACCAGCCAACCCTTGTCCTTGGCTCGAGAGATCCTTCAAGAGTTGATAAACCTTTGCCTCAAATGACTGTGGACAAAACCCCACCCCCCAGCCACCCCCTTCCTGTGGATCCCGTTGGCAAGAACCCAGCGGAACCGGAGATGACGATATAAGATATCGAAGGAGAGCCAGCCCACTCGCCCACTCCACACACCGCGAAACTTCTCGGGCAACCCACCACCAACAGCAACAGCAACACCAACCGACCCGAAACTAGTTCATGCTGTGGAGAAAAAGGGAGAACAGAATAAAAAGAAAGCTGACTACATAATGAAATGAAATGTCGAGGCAGGCGAATGAAAATAGAGAAATAAAATAGAAAACGAGATGCGGAAGGGGAGGACGAGGACTTGGGTCGGTCCCATAGCACGGGGCAAATACGAACAATAATTTGATTCTTTTGGGGCATAAATCAGACAAAAGCCACGCACATCGCTACAGTCAGCGACAATAGCTGGTGAATCCCTCTTCCAGGTGGCACCAAGACCCAGCCCTGCCCCGAAAATCAGGCCAGAGAACAGAACCGAACAGAGAAGAGCAGAGCAGAGCGAACAAATTTTACATAATAATTAGAAATGGGAATGGGGATGGGGATGGGTAGGGGAGCCAAGGCCCAACCCCACCTATAAATATGCATTTTGTGTGCGACCCCTGATCCAAGCCAGATCCGAACAATTGTGCAGAATAATCACCATAGAGGGGGAATTCACGCGGACAATCATCATCGTGGAAGCCCCAAAAGAGGGGCACCCAAAACTAAACAACAATATATGTACGTAAGTGCGAATACGATGCCGAATGCACAATTTTCGAATTAAATAAACAAACAAACTATGCAGAACCAATTTCAGCTCGTACGAGTACATTTTTGGTTTCTTTGGATTTGGTGCTGCTCTGATTTCAATCCAGAAAAAGCTTTTAACCCTCTCCCCGCCCTGCCCACCAACAAACAGCCCACACGCATGTCGGGAAAATGTAAACAAATACATTTTGGGTCTGTTCTGGCTCTGGTTTTGGTTTTGGTTCTGGAATTGTGCGATGATATTTGACTTACCGATACCGATGGTGATTCCTCTGGCCTACCCCTTTCGCTCCTTGGCAAGCGGATGGCCTTAGGTACAAACACAGACACACACACACACAACAAACTACACACCCACCACACACTCACACACACAGACACACTTGCTGGAGAGCAAACAAATTCCCGCTACATGACACAAAGATGGAATCGGAATTGCCAGCGTAATTAGAATGGCATTAGGAATTTGAATTGGAATCCGAATTGTAACTTGTCTTTAATTGAGACAATTGTGCGGACAGGTTTAGCGATTGTTTTATAAATATACGACGGGCACATGGCACGGACACTGACAGACACCACCACACACCACACAAAAACTACAGAAAAACAAAAAACAAAACAAAAAACAATCACAAAAAACCAACGAACAAAAGCAAACAAATGTAAACTATTTGTGCTGTTTTTTTTTTTTTGCTGTTATGCCTGGGGCCAGCCGATGCCGATGCCGATGCCGTTGCCGTTGCTGTTGTCGTTGCCGCGTCCGTGTCCCGTGTGCTGTGGCGTTCAAGAATTTCTGCTCAGAGCAGCAGCAGCAGAAGTAGAAGTAGGAGTCCGTGGCAGAGAGGCGGCAGGCAGCAGCAGAAGCAGTCAGTGGCAGTGGCAGCATCGCTGGGGGATGATAAAAAGCTTATTGACAGAGCGTTGCCAGACCTCCCCAATAAGTGTGGCCGCAGCACCGTTAGCTGAAGCCACCCCCGCCTTGTGTAACTGATTTTCCAAAAGAAAGGCGCAGGTCGGTTGCCCAGTGCCTGCCAGCAGATGGCACCACAAACGGTGCCACTTACGGTTAACCGGAAGCATGAGTATCGAAATCGGAGACAGTGTTCCCACTGAGAAATAATATATCTTAAAAAGATGGCCATCTTCGTGTTTCCCCATTCAATAAGCAAATAGATTGTGGCATTTCTTTGTCATGTTTTTTTGTTTTGTTTTTGGTTTTCTCTCTTTCTTTTATTTAAATACGTTTGTATGTTTGTTCTTTTCTTTCATATTTTCACCTTGGTTGCATTGGGTATTACGAGCACGTCTCTTGCATCGGTTTCTGTTGGTTTCTCTTGATTTTAATGTTCGTATCTAGGGTCGTATTAATTCTTTTTTAGCAACATCATACCTTATGGTGAATACAAGTTGATATGATGTAGATTTGGCACACTAAAAATTAACTCGCAACCGAAGGCAAGTTCGCAGTTAGTTTTTCTGTATTTTCCCCATTTGTTCTTCATTTCTTTGCGGCTCTTTTAACATGTGCTTATTCGCTTGTTTGTTTCTTTGTTTGGTTTAGGTATTCCTTTTTAGTTTTGTTTAATTTATGTATCCCTTTTTTTTTTGTTTTTTGCATATAAATTTCACTATAAGTACATGCTGTTTAGTATCTGTCAACATTGCGAAATTAGCAATTAGGAGAAAAAAAAAATATATATATGTATGTACTCGTATTTATACAATTATGTAGGAATTGTTAGACTCTAGACTCGTGTGGGGGGACTCTTTATGCGCTACCTTAAACTAATGTACAAAAATATCGGTAACTTAAAGACGAGCAATTTAAAATTTAAAATCAACAACGACAACAACTCGCGGTATTTTACGAATAATTTAATATAATACAGAGAGTAATACATAATTGGTTGGGTTCACTTATCCTTCTGCTTTTCCTCCTACTCCTCCATCTTTAGCTAGTATAATCGTATGGTGGGGGGGGTCGGGGGCACGTTAAAAACAATCATTAAAACTGTACCATTTACATAATTGACTCACAGAGTTTCGTTGGTTGGCAACAATTGAACTGAGAGTGAGTTAGTTGTACGAAATAAGCTAGGTGGAAATGGGCCCTGGATGTGGACGGGGCGGTCGGGTCGAATCGGGTCGAATCGGGTCGAATCGGGGGTACGTTTTGGTATAGCTATGTGGTGGCATTTGGGGCTATTTATAGTCTCTCTCTGGAAATATCCCTAAGTGGACATTTTCCCCCCCATTCTCCTATAAACAGTTTTTATATGTGGCTTTTTATTATTATCATTAAAATTTGCTCGATTTTTGTCCTTTTTGTGTCTACACATTACGAGTACTTCACGTTTTTATAAAAAAGAGAAGGCAAAACAAAAAAAAAACGTTTTTTGTGGTCCCTGGCGTGTGTAATTCAATTGAAATGGTAAATGGTTTCTTTTTGCATTTAAACATTGGCATTCAACAACAAAGAAACCCAATAAATACCAATAAAGTAAATCAAAAAATTCGTTTCCTTATAGAGTAAGTTCATCTTCTTTGGCCTTGTCTCCTTGTCTGCTTCCCTACTTCCCTACTGCTTGCTTCTACTTCTCCGTCTAGTTGTATTTTGTAACTATTTGTATTACTTAAGTGTTGTGCTTGTCGTTTTTTGTTTTGTTTTGTTTTGTTTTGTTGCTTTTGTTTTTGTTTTTTGTTGTTGTTTGTCTTATTAGATTTAGTTGGACTGCTTAGCTGGCTGTGACCCATTTAGTTGTTCTTGTTGTTTGTTTTGTTTTGTTTTGTTATATTGAACCCATTTTTGAGTATTTGTTCCTTGAATTTCAGTTTTGTGTTTGTTTTGTGGCTAACTACATGTAGTAGATAAGTAGATATAGTATCCGTATAGTTAGTTTTTCGTTGAAGAACGCATGTGTTGAGTATATGTGTGTGTGTGTGTTGTGTGTGTGTGTGCGAGTGCGTGTCTGGAGGTGTGTATCTGTGTGCGCGTGTATGCCTTAGTGCGCTAATTACAATACGAGAGCTATCGATGTTATCGATAGCATTAGCCATAGCGTTTTCGATTGCGATAGCGATAAGTTCCGGGGATAAGTTGTGAGTACAGTTACGTCATCGTCAGCTTTTTGCTGCTAAGTAAGTTAGTCGCTACGAAACGATCTATTGGTGCCTGCTGTTAGTGTTAACATCACTACTGAATATTCTTGCTGGCTACTCTGAATAGAGTGACTGAGATTTGGACCTGCAACTGCAACTGTCTTGGTTAGTGTTCTTTAGTTTAGCATTAGGTTAGAGCAACAAGTAGATCGATGGGCTAAACCAAAAACAAAAAGAAAACAAAAAAGTTGTAACACAACAAACCTTACTATCGGTTCCTTTGTTTAGAATTCCTTTGGATTGGTTTTCGCTTAAGATATACACATTTAAACAGCTCTAAGCTTATGGCTTGAGTTTCGGTTTCAAAATTGATCTAGAACTGCACTAAGCTATTTAAGTGTTAGAGTTGCCTTTCTTATATCGAAATATATTCTCAAGTAGGGATCGTGTATGATGAATGGGATGGGATGAGCACTGGGAATTGGGAACAGCAAGCGTGACATTTGGCAAACGAAACCGAATGAGGGGGTTGTTTTGCTGCTGGTGGTAGGGGAGTAAAATTCGAATAGTGTTGGGGACTAGTCATCTAGTCTAAGTTTTAGATAGGTTTGACTAACGCTTAGATAGGCTTAACAGCACAAACTGAAGGGTTTTCCAACAGGTAATTCGCTAATCTATGCATATTATAAGCTCTATATATAGATAATATATGTATGTATGTTTGTGTTTGTGTCTGTGGGTGTGGGTGTGTATGTGGTGTTTGTGTGTGTGTGAGTATCGTTAGAAATAGTTGCCTGTTCTATTTCAAAACATTTGTCCGAATCGATTAGTATTTAAAACATTTCTTAAATAGTTTTCTATATAAGTTATTAAAGCTTTCGGTTTTCATTAGACTAGTTCATATATATATATATATATATATATATGTATTTATGTGTATATTATATAACTATGTATATTTCTGTGTGTATATATATATATACGTACTTAAAATATATATGTTCCATAGTCTCTAACAATAAGAGGTATTTACATTTTTATAAAGAGAGAGAGAGCACGTCCCGCGCCAATGTTCCATAAACGAAAAAGTAAAAAAACCAGCAGAGAACGATTGGTACACCTATACAGTGAGGAAACTGGCAAATTCTAGTATTCAGATACGATTACATATGCATATGTAGATAGAGACATTGAACAAACATGCGCGTGATGGCATGGACGTTTTTTAGGACGGTTTAATGTGGGAATTATATCATCTCGCTCTCACGCACACACACATTTCTCAATCATCCATCGAACAGTCACTCAAACACCCAGATACTATACATATGTATGTATTTAGTACTTATTAATCTAAGTCCTATCAAAATGAAGCAAGAAAGGCAAGAAGAGAAAGCCTAAAATCATCCGATCGAATTGGAAGAAAATCCCACTAGCTTTTTTTTCTCTAAGAGTACAAAAAAATCCTAGCATTATCTAATGAGAAATACGCGGACTGAGATCATCATTTGGGGCATTTAGGGCTCACGCACACACTAGCTGAAAGTGGAACTGAAACGGAGCCAAAAAATCGAACATATTGCTCCAGTGTAAGTGCGCACATTGCTGCTTAGCTGAGCTGAAAACTCGCCCAATGATGTCTGTTTTTATCAGCAAGCTGATTGAGCTCCGATTTCAGCTAGTATGTGCGTGAGCCCTAAGAGCCCTAAGATATATATTTCCGGGGGGTTTCTATGGCTAGAAATGAAAGCGAAACAAAATGCAGCTGGTGTGCTGGAACATTGGTGGAGAGAACTCTCCGGTTTTTTTTGTGTGTTGTTGTTGTTCTTGTTCTTGGTTTAGTTTAAGTTGTTACCTTTAAATCTACTTTGGAATATATATGGTATATATCCCACTTGAATGCTTTCACTTTATATATGTACGTGTATATGCATGTATATGTATATATACTATATTTTTTGGTTTCTTTCCTCTTTGGTTTCTTTGGTTTTTGGGGGTTCGTTAGGGCTAAACATACAATATAGAATATAGATCTATATGTCCTCTTTAGTTTGTATATCGTAGTGTATATTCATGGGGTCTTCATATATATTATATATATATATATTTAGTTGTTGTACCATTGTGTAATACTGTCCGAATTGCTTATTGGTTGTTGTCCTCGTCCAGTGCTGTGGCTGCTGTGGGGTTG